TGTTGGTTGTCAGAGAGAAACACCTTACTGCTGTCACGCCCCTTTACAATCAGAAGTACTTCACATAATTAATGGATGATACTTCAAATTCCAAAATAAAGCCTAAGTGGTGATTAGCCTCAAGCGATGCAGTGCCTGAGTGTGCACCCAAAACCTTTGGATATACTGGGTTTGATAGTTTCGAGGACCAACTTGTGAAAGTCATAACACCCTTGATAAACAAATACATGAAATGAAAAGTCTTCCTATATTCGGTTATGAACTTCCTTGAACCATGCAGAGGTCGCACTTTCTAAGCTTTCAACAGAAATCCATAGATTAACGAGTGAAAATCGAAAAGCTTTTGGTTTAGGTGCATGGTAAAAGTCTCCTCTGCGTTAAAGTTTTGAAATACAGAGCAGTGATTAAATTTGTCAGTAATACTGAACAAAAGTCATCTAAATTTCCACATCAGAGACTAGCTACTATTGGCCTGGCTGAAGATCTTCAGATAGTTTTGAGAATTAGCGAAATTATAGCACACGTAAATTTTTCTAAGTTAGATTCTATGCACGACAAATATTGATTAAAATTACGCTGTGAGCAGTAATCAAATAAAACGGCAATGAACTAAAGATAGGGTTTTGTTATATCAGCTGTGCTACTCTGGTAACGGTCTGGGGAAATTGCAGCTTATATAGTACAGAAGGATCAGCAGGGATGTGATAACAATGTATCACAGTAGCAATAATTCTTTGCCTTAACATGCCAATTAGGACTCAGTACTAAACAACACGTAATATGAAATAACTTTGTACCAGAACAGGCACGAAGACCCATGTGAACCTTTTCGTAGTTAAAATTCCTAAACCGAGGAATTTTCTACTCGAAGTAACAGTTATGATACCTTGATGTCAATATTCCAAAAAAGCCTTGGCCATTAATTGGTTCTGTAGGTAGAGGATTATTTCCAGTGTTAATGTTTAATCATTAGATGAGACTATAATTTATGGACGAACCAATCATGTTTACGATAACGTCTTAGATTTTGGCGCGAAATCCATTCACGCACTTGGCTAATTAGTTTTGGCATGATAGCTGATGTCAATTCATGATAAAAACCCTAAATATAATTCCTAACCCTAACCATCAACTGTTAATCATAATCCTTATTCTTTAAACTGCTTTATAATTCTCATTTAGCCCTAGTAAGTACGTAGACACTCAAGGTCACTATGGCTTCGCTCAAAAGTCGTCCATAAATCAGTCACACTGACCGTTACTCTAAGGATTAACTTCTTCCAGCTTTGCTCCTGAAGGAATAAGATAAGAGTGATAATTACTATAACCAAAAACAATCCAAATGTCCAGAATTATGATCTAGTCGATGGTTAGAGTAAGGAATCAGATTAAGGGTTTTTATGACGAACTGACATCAGCTATAGTGCCTAATATGCATTTAGCCAAATGAATAAGTGAGTTGTGCGATAAAATTGAAGAAGTGTTATCTTATATCTGATTGGTTCGTCCAAAATTATGGTCTCGCCAGTTTGAATGAAAACATAATAGGTTATTCACAAAATGTTGAAACGTGGGAGAAACATAGCATGTCAGTGAAACAACGCTGAATACATGACCAGGAACACAAAGCACATATTTTATTGCAATTCATGAACTGATAAAGTTAGATATTTGAGCCTAGTATGTTATATATTTGGACATTGAGGTCTATGAGAAAATAAAAAAGCCGCATATACCGAAGTTTCATGGGAGCATACAATATCACTTACATTCCAAACTTAAATTGGCGCTAATCAGGTCCGGACAAGTCCCACACAAGAACTTGACAGCCACCAGAGCACCGAAGCGATAGGAAATGAACGTCGCGCCTCACACTCAACCTACAATTTATGGAAAGGATGACCTAAGCGATATGAGTAGAAGGTGTAAAGAGATATGAGTTTGAAAAAGTAACATCGTCGCCTGGAGGCTGTACAGTAACCACGCTTCTTGGTTAGTATGTATTCTAAGTCTTCGAAATTGGGTGCTGACCACATTAGTTTTGACGGACTCACCTAAAGGAGCTTCGCCATGTATCCGCACCATATGACGAGTGGGAACGCCGTGCTCAACATCCCCTGCAATCGCTAGCCAGATGACATTAGTTGTTGTTAAACTTCAAGTACCTGCGGCATCTTCAACAGCTTGGATCCGACTGTAAATTCTATAAGTGAGGTTAATTTCGATATTCCAAAAAGCGTTATAATTTCTTAGTGCTGACCAGAACAATGTTACTGATTTACCTCCTTAAAAATTAACTCACGTAATAATTTATTCGCCTGGCTAACCAAAACTTGCTAGCCAGAGTACATTGTTCCTACAACACAAAACAGATAAAATTTTATCGGAAAGATGGGCGATGAAATTAAATACATGTGTGAACTGTCATACGCAACAAGACAGAGAACACGATCTGGACTTCGCATGTGAACTGGTCTTTCTAACCCATACACATCGACAAATGCAGGTCAACCAACCAACATAGTAGAAGCCTATGAATCAGTAATTATCTACATACAAAAACGAAAAACTAATATATTCGAATACAACACGCAGAACACCAACCCAGTCACATCTGATTGAAAAGCTCTGGAAGAGTGTGAAACTTTCAAATGCCTGGGCGGCATCATCGAAAAACAGGGAGAATCTCATGCAGACGTAAAGACAAGAATCGGTAAAGCAAGGGTAGCATTCCTACAATTAAAATACATCTGGAACTCAAAACAACTGTCAGCTAACACCAAAGTCAGAACGCCGAGACAGTTCTACTGCACGGAGCTGAAACTTCGAGAACTATTACAACCATCATCAACAATGTACAAGTATTTACAAACAATTGTCTACGCAGGATACTAAGTACCCATTAGCCGAATACCATCAACAACAACCAACTGTGTAAGAGAACAAACCAGTTTCCATATAAAGAGGAAATTAGGAAAAGACGCTTCAGGTGAATAGGAGGACATACATTGAGGAAATTATCGAACTGCATCACAAGGCAAGTGCTAACTTGAAGGGGAAAAGAAAGGTGAAAGATCAAAAACCATATCGGGTCGGGAAGGGGAGGTGGACATCAAAATAATGAATGACAACTTGAAACAACTGGAAAGGATTGGTCAGGACAGAGTTGTTTGGAGAATGTCAGTGGGCGGCCTATGCTCCTCCACGAGGAGTAACAGGAGTAAGCCGTCATATGCGCCCAACTATACACATTCAAAGGAGCGTCGAAATACATATGTAGGGTCGTTGAAAAATTGTTGCTGAAAAAGGTTGCATCGTCTACCTGCTGAAGAAATTAACAAACGACCTGAATATGAACAAGCTCAAGTGAGGTAAATGTGTTATAACGGATACATATAGTATGGCGGACTAATTCGATTCGGATAGAATTACTTCAGTGAACCCACTTTAATCCGAGCTCTGAATATACCTTTTTCAGGTATCCTGAAGCGTCAAGACCATATTTTTGTGAAAATCAAAAGTTGTTTAGGCTAAGTGCCACAATGTTTGTATCTGAACTATAAGACACGAATAAGTGCAAACACTTTCTACAAATGAAAGTCTGTCGGATGGCTGATAAATATGGTTATGCCACACATCTGGCAAAAGTATAGATTGGGGACGAACCGAAAACAACTGTAGCAAATTTTAAACCACTTCTTGTTCAATGAGAAAACAGCCTTTCCCAATGGATACTTTATGGGGAATAAAACAATGGGGATATAAAGTGTAAAACGTTCATACATTACCGATGAACGTACTGGTCTTCCACTAGTCACTATAATAGTAACTTGTAGAAACTAGCACAAAGGTCGACATTATTACTCATTTTTCCAAACCCACGAACGAATCCAAATAAGATTTTTGGGTTCATAGTTAGGGTCTTCTTCACGAGCTAATATCACCTATAACCCAAAGTGCTCCATGAGGAAACTGAGAAAGAAGTTGACTGCAAAGAACCAAGAGGCGCTACCTGGCCAGTTCTCCAATGAAATAGTTCAGATCGGTCTGAGTAGTAGGGTTTTCATCCTGAGGATAGGGTTGACTCCTCCCTTATATGCATGCTATAATTGGGATTAAACATTTGACACGATAGTTTTTACTGTATGTCGACATAAAGCTATCTCCCGCAACCATTGTCAGCAATCTCAGCATCATACAAAATGACTCAACTACTCACTATATATTTGGATTTCGCGCCAAAAGCTTGGAACCCCCTTTTCCGTTTGGACAGCCTCAACACTATATTATAACACATACTTAAGATCATGCCTTCGTTGTTCTACTCTCGTAACACGAGACGTTAGTGGCAATCCGACTTAAATGAAACAAACTACGAGAAAACTACGTATTCTTATACTCGTAAGGATGAAAATGATGGACAGTTTGGGATGGATCAGGATATAATTATTTTCGAACACATAACTACACCATACGTAGTCGTGGAAAATGTTTTCAAATAATAAAAGGACGAGTCACAACACATATGACTGCTTGGTATGCTGTGTAGATCATTACTATTCAGTGAAAGTTTATGATAATATAATCCCGAGCACAACCCCGCTCCTTTCAAAGCGTGTGATCAGAACCAGGAATAACTGGCAGAATTTATTCAATAATAGCTCACTATATAGTACTAACAATCATCCCCTCGATAGAGATTAAATTGGGGAGGCAAGACCTGGGGTTCGAATGAGGAGCCTTTACCAGTGAAGTCCGACTATGTGAAGCGGTTATCCGCTAGACACTAGGAGGAACTTGTGCAATATCACTAGACGACTGACACTAAGTCTGCAAACCACTTTGTCCAGGATTGATAATTTAAAGGCTAAATATGAGCTATGAACTGAAGATTTTGGGTTTGGTTCACAGCAGGGTTGCTGAGAGGTATTGTTGTGGGGTCATAAGCGAGTAAAAACCCTCTAGTGCTGTCTTTCCGCGCTTACTTAAAAAGTTATCAATGGCGAAAAACAATTTATTTGAAAATATGTTGGTATTAAAAAACAATAAAGAAAATGGAGGCACAGAAAAGTAAACTAAAATATTTCACATAAATGAATCATAATGTTATATACAGTTTACACGCATAAAAAGTTACTGATCATTTATTTTATCTGGAACTGAGACTAACTGATGCACGTTAATCTAGAGATGAAAAGTAATGCAAAAATGATAAATTAGTAAAATATTTATTTGGTTGAAAATAACATAACATAAAAGCATATGGAAATATTATCATCTAAGTCCCTCGATTAATTCCTAATTATTAGTAATTGAATAATCGTTGGAGCTCTACGTTATGTTGAAGCGAAATCAACAACGACAAAACCTTCAGAAGTATCCCGCAGGGGATTACTGTGCCTATTTTTCTCTATTTGTCAGCTTTCACTTGATACATATATCGTTATTCTTCATTGTTACAGATTCATAGTTGTAGCATACATTGTGACTTTTTGTATGTTACTATGTGGTTAGGTATTTAGGGAGTACTATTAAAGTTTCTACGTCATTGATAAATAGAAAGTAATAGTGAGATCTGCTTGATAAATCCGTGTTCTGATTAAACATTGGACTGGGAGCTTGAAGACAAATAAGTCTTAATGTTAAGGTCGTTAATTAACGGTCACTGAGTGAATAATCCTACCTCTATTATCTATCTTATGAAACTTGTGACGAAATAACGATACTGAGGTAATCTAATCTTCTTCAAAGTACTTAATAAACTGTCCTTTATACCCAGTCAAGTAATTCAATATGCAGAAACTTCTAATCACAACATCTGTAACTTTTTGTCATCAGCGAAACAAACCCATTTTAGATCACCTCTCTATATGAATTATTTTACCTGTGAATTTTCCAGATTCTGGGATAATCTACCACAATCTATCCATAAGATAAAATCACTCCCATCCTTTGTTTGATGCAGTAATGCTTACTGCTCCTCTGAAAATGCATCAAATGTCCTAGTATCTGCAAGTGTATCTTATTCCACAAGTGAGATTATAGGAACCTTAAATATTTAGCAATTTTTCGCACTGAATCAACTAAGTAAAACCTACCTGCTGTTACTTTACATTACCACAGTCCCTGGCAACGCTAACTAATTTGAATAATATCTAACACGAATAGTAGATCAGAAAAAATCCTGACATATGTATTGTGGTAGACCTAACTAACCTATCGTAATAACTGTTGCCACTTTTACCGTGCTCTATGCTTTATTTTCTTTCGTTATAGATGGTCATAATAAATTCGTTATGGCGCAGGAAATGACTTTAGATACACCGCTCATATATCAACAGAATATCCACTTAAAAAGAACTAAAAGTTCCCGGTTTATGCCTTTGATTGTTGTAATACATGTGAAAAATGTACTACCTAAACAATTTTTGAACTAGTAAGCTGAAAACAATCTTATATCACATTTTTGCTCTCTACATTTAATGTTACCGTTTATATTAAGCTTATCATGCATGTAAACAGGCATGAAGTCTGTAATTATTTTCAGAATATGTGTTATTATATTATATATCTGTACAGAATCCACATATACCTACAAAGTGATCTAAATACCTAAACAAAGTTCGATGCATCAAAAACGAAGTGATTAATTCATTTAGGGAAATGTGACTTTTAAACTTAATTGATAGATGGAAACGAACTGAGTAATATTATCTTTGATTAAACTAACAGTGTGTTATACAAACAAACACTGAAACAATAAATAAAAATAATATATTTGTAATATCGCAATGAGTAAAAAAATTAAGTTTTCTCTGAAGAAGTGGCTTACTATGGGTCACGAAATGTCAGAAAACTGAAAAACTCAATTTTTCTACTCAATGTGATACTACAAATATATTATTTTGATTTATAATAATCTATTCAATGTTCAATTTATTTGAAATTATCAAGTCAAAACTTGGTAATCACACTTACAAACGAAAACAATAAGATTTTATGGAAGAAGCTTGATGTACATTAAAGAAAAGGAACATTTTTGAGGATATAGTGATGCTGTATAAATATTTACACACAAAAACCTATATTGATCAAGTGATCATAAGCCCGAACAGATAAACAAGTCAACAAAAGATTTGTGTGAGTTATGACAGTCCTTCTTTAAATTTGTGTTTCTATACATTACAAATCCTAAGAAAGTATTTGTAATTGAATTAACCTCTACGTTTCTAACCAATAACAATCGTATACTTAAAGATATGTTAAATGAATTAATATACAGAATGACAGTTTCGAATTAATGATATATATATTTTTGGTGTAAATAACTAAAAGAGTAAATATACCTGATCTGATACGACAATGTGGATAAGGTGCATCATGCATAATAGATTTTAATGTGTATACAATATGTAGCAATGATGAACACTGAAAAGAAGATAAATATGCAAAATGATTATTTATATATCAAGAAGAAATCTCACATGAATTATTACTCACTATTAAAAATTCAGTTAGATTTCTAAAGTTTTAAAATGATGCTTGAATAGCAAGCATATATGAAATGCGCTTCTCTGCATCTAAATGTAAAATTTTACTTTAGGAACCGTCTGCGTCAACGCCTAAACTAATGATATAGGATGAAACGGTTGAGTGTATCGAATATCTCATTTACCTCGGAAGTCTCACTAGATCTGGTGGGCTGGTGTCTGAAGAAATCTCAGTAACAATTTAGCAAGTTTGGTTAGTCTTTACCAGTTTATATCAGTCGTAGATTAAGCGAGATTTTCGTCTGGCAGCCCAAGGATATGTATATTGCGCAGCAACCCGTCTTGTGTTGCGTTATAGCTGCATAACATGGCCCTTAAAAGCGGAAGACAAATGTAGGCTAGTACTACTTGCGTCTCATGAAACTATCAATTGAGCGGAGTTGAGGTTAGACATATGATACTTGGCATAGGTAGCAAATATGTTGATGAGGTTGTGAGGCTTTATAGACTGAAGCGGTTAGATGTGGTTCGTGTACATAACCACTTACCCTGACAAATACTCGCTGGTTTAGGCGTAGATTAAAAGAAGTTAATCACTACGTATTATAGAGCTATCTATTGCTTATATACAAATATTTCAAGAAACTAAGGCAGTCTTATGACTTTAATCGACCTCAGATATGCTGTTCCGATGAATGTAATATACATTGTTTTTAACATTACAGATGTTAAGCAACTGACAGTAATCTACCATAATAAAATGAATTTAAGCTACTGTGATTAAATATTGCCCTTGTTCTTTTCAAGTCAAGAAAAGGAAACAAGTGTGCAAAAGGAATAAATGACCACAATGAAAATAAATAATAGACTTAGATAATGAGGACTTTCAGTTTACAAATACTTGCTCTCACGTAGTTCTATACACTTTTAAATTAAATAATATTAACATGATACTAAGTTTTTTCCTGCAAAAGTTTAGTCATAAACCAATATTATTGATGACAATTTTATGATAAACTCATTAGTTAGTTAAATGAAAGTAAATTCAGGATGTTAGAGCTAATCTATAGGCTATTTGCGTCCTGAGGATACAGGAAGAAATATTAATTTACAATATATCTCTCATATTTCCCGTGAAACTATATTTGACAAAAAAATAAATAATGTAATAAAAAACAATTTAGAAATAACGTAAGAAAATATTCATAGACAGTAAACAGAAATTTTGGTGAAAATAATTCAGTAGAACTAGACTGAATAGTTTTACCTGATCTCTATATTTTTCAACTTCCTCTATAAATTTTGAACCAATACAACCGTAAATTTCAATAAGCATACATTGAATAACTTTTACAGTTTCCTGTAAAATTTCCATACGAATAGATTGATAATTTTTAATTTTTACCGATTTTGTTACACCAAACGAATCAGGAAGAAATGGTTCCAAAAAAGGGAGGATTAAACCCCAATCAATTTTATTTACTGAAATTATTAAAATAAAAGCAATATGGAAAAGTGTGTAATTCTATTATTACTTTGATGTTAGATGATACCTAGAAGTATTCGATAAAAAATCCTGCTTAACCTAGGTCTCATGCTAGTTGAAACTCGTTATCAAGGTGTACCTAAGATCGTGAGAGGATAGAAACTCTCAGGAGGATTCGAAACCAATTCGTCCAGTTTCACAGTTGAAGTTACCACTGGACAATTTAAAAAACGACTGAGCTCCTGTAGGACCGATATAGTTACACTACCCAGACCCAGGATTTCCATCAACTAACCTTGGAACGTAGAACATGCGATGTTGAATCACAGACTAACAGATACATTGAAATTTGATTGATAGAATATCAGGACTAAGGACTAGGCAAACATGACATTGATTACTACTCAGTAAATAGTCGGTGTATTCTAGTACATTGAATTTTAAATTTTTGTGAAGATTTTGATGGTTATTTTTATTATGAATCGACATATCAGAAGAAAAAAACTATGGAACACTGGACAGGCATATTTCGTTCTTTTTTGTTAACAACGTACAACCACGACCGAACCACATGGATTCAGATGTAGCCAATTTCATAGATCATAATAGCACTAGACTATTACCACTAATCAAAAGACAATTTACCTGTGAAAATCTACACATAAAGGTACTAAAACTCAGCTTGTAAAGGAACAGGAATATAGCTGACAAATCAGCCAGAACTTATTTATATCTTTTCAGAACATTTTGAGTACAAATATATATTGTAGTTGATAAGTTGGTTAATTCATTTGTAAAAGTTTAGCAAATCAGGCAAGATATCTGGTTTTTACAGGATGGAAGATAATATCCTGTTTGCAACAAATGTAGAGTTCAAGCTCACTAATTCTGGTTAAAATCAAGACCTGAACAATAATAAGTATTAATTCAAAGAGGTTTTGCAAATGATTTTGGTCAATGACAAAATCATTTTAGGATTAAGAGTGGATAAAATAGGTCATGTATACAGAAACTTATTTATATCAGACAATTATTACGAATCAAATAAGCAACAACAAATGATTAGGTTACTTACTATAATTTCTAATTTCGGAACTTCGACAAGAAAGTTGAGCAAGTGAAAGATATGCAACTTTGGCGAAAGAAATCGACTTCATATCTAAAGAGAAAGGTTCATCCAAACTGTGTATAGGATCAGAGGGATGACTATCCTGACCTTCAGGTTTGATACGATGGCATAATATATCACAACCAAAACAACAAATATGAACCAGACGTAAAAGAACACTGACAGAGAAAAAAAAGAAATTACGAAAGTAATATAAAACTCATTTGTTTTTGTATAATTCATATCACAAAAAAAGTTTTATAATTAGATTATATGAATGTGTTAGAAAATAGACAGATTACTTTTAAATAGTGATAGAACAAAGGAAATCGTAGACAATACACTTTTACAATGAATAGTTTACTAGGCTTGAGTTTTGTCTGATAAGCACTTTTCAACAATAACTCAAACAATTTAAGAGACAACTTATCGAATTTCATTAATCAAAAGTATAAGTTTGACGCAAAAGCATTTGACAGTTTAAACTCAGGTTGATATAATAGTTGGCAGCAGACAAAGATGATTTACGTCGGTTTAGATGAAAAAACGTAAAAAAAATTATCTTGCAAAAAAAACTAACCTCAATCCAATAGAAGGGTCAACAGCAGTATAAATATATCGAACTAATATCATTACGGTTATAATACGAGGATTCGTTAACAATGAAGGAGTGTTACGATTTAGTTGTAATCGTTCAGCAAGTTGTATTAGACCACCCAATAAATATTTTAAATTGTCAGCCTTAACCTCACGAAATAAGAAAGGCCGTGTAAAAATCTAATCAATGAAAGTAATTAAATAAAAGTTAACGATTAAAAAAGATGAAAATTTTGAAAGCGAATATTAGCTAACAGTTCAAAAAAGTAACAAAAAAGAGATAATTTTTTTTGAGGGAAGAAGCTTAAAAAGCCAATGCTTTCTATCTTAGATAAACTGATTTGTAGATTTATACTAAACAGTTCTTACTCGCTTAATAGCCGATATATTTTTTATCCGACTATATTGAACCGGTCATTTTTGTGTTTGCCTATATCGAGAATTGGCTGTTGTTTTAAAGTTCATCAAGTTAAATGTGAGCTTTAGCAAATCATAATTTATTATAGAACCATTTACTAAACGTGTATACATATATAAATATTTTTAGCAAGTCAAGATAGTTTGTCGACTTTATGTGACCTTGGGTATGCTATCTCGGTTAATCTAACATGATGTTTATTATTAAGCTGCACAGTACCAAGACTCAACCATGCAAATGAATTGTGAAGTTATAAAATAATGGTTGAGCAAAAACTATGTAAATTATCGACAAGCGTTTCATTATAGCAACTACATTTTAGGGTAATTTCATAACAAATATTTATGATGAAAGTGAAATGTAATAACGATAAAGTATACAAATGGTATACAAAAGAAATAAATTTCCAAAAATAACTCACACATATTAATACATCGCCTAGACATTGCATGAAAATCGCTTGACCTGCGTTAGATTCACTTTTGTACAAACGATTACAAAGTAACGTCAACTGAGTAATAATCTGAGGCATAAAGGGTGGAAGCAGATTACATGTTCGAGGATCTAAAGTTGCATGACAGAAATAAAAAAAAATCACTTTCAAAGAATGCAAACTATAGTTGTACTAAACTAGTTACTACACAATTTTAGTATAACTTCGCAACTAGAGGAGAGATACATGTACTCATTCAACTTAAAACCAAACGTTTCAAGAACTTCAGTACTAAATTTTTGAATCCTAAGTGAATGAACAATTCTCATCAAGTACGACTGAACTGCGTTAATGGAACAAAAATGTTACTCATATATAAATAATCTAAACCAACGTTAAAATAAAGATTAATTGTATTAACCCATTGTCCATCTAGATATATGATTTATGAAGTTCAGTAAACTAATCTAATGAAAACAATGAGTATTCTACAGTTCAATTTCGCTGGACAAGAAAAAGGATATACAGCTAACTAGGTATCCGTAGTAAAACGGTTTAAATGAACGAATTAATGAGAATGACAAACTTTGGAGAGTTTTAATGTCGGTATTTACAACTTAAATGTGTATTTATGAGATTCGTGTTTTTGCATAATTGTAAGTCTCCAATTAACTGGTTAAAAAACTGCACTTCAGACTTTGTAAAGCTAAATGTCCTAATTAGACATATATTTCAATTTCTTATCTACGAAGCGTCACGGTCTTGTAATTCATGCAATATAACCTTGTGAGTTCTTGAGTCAGATGAACAAAAGTCACATAGGATGTTTTGTTGGGGAGATCCAAGGTACTTGAAAAAGTTAAGAGGGGCTCTGGAAACGCTGGGAAACAGTCAGCGTTGGATAGGAGCGTCTCATAAACACCTGCAAATAGAGTCACACGTCACATTTCTGACTGGATGATTACTTATCCTGTTACTATGTTTAGTATGGTTCGAGAAACTTTCAGAAGCCTAAAACCATCTGAAATACTATAAATACCCCCAATTTTCTATACATAAACTAAACTTGGAGTAAAGCGTTCTTTTCACAATTCGTGCCTTTTCTCTCGTATTCAATTTGTCGTGTAGATTTAGTCTGAGGTTATTATAAGAGCTTAGGAAATCGATTCAAGCGTCCAGTTGGAAGACTTATCAGTTTTATTGACGTGTTTCAATGATGTTTGGAGACAAGGACTCTGGGTGTGTTAATAAGTGTTAGCATATCAAGTCACTTTGTCCGGTCATCTATATTATTAATATAAGCATAGCGATTCAAGGTCATATCAAAACCCAATAGTTCGATTGCGACATTTATATAAACCTAATCAAAACCGTCATTGTATATGACCAAAAATGAAATAATAGTCAGTGCCATACTAGGAAGAAACGACCGCTCAGTGTTTCCAGGTTTTGAATGATGATTTAACTAAGATAGGTTCATGATTTCAGTGAAATAAAATAATATCAAGACAAGAGTAAACAGAATATAAAATAAAATTTGCCTTGAATTAATACTTCTAAGTCGATAAGAGCTCCATGGACGATGTTATTGAAACCTGATCGGTCATCTTCATTTTCATCAGTGTAGACCTGGTGGCAGTTTTCAGTTGACGGTGCACGATTCTCATCTTGGACTTCATCATCAGATACAAATCCTCCTAACTGATCAACTAAACAAGATAAAGCTGCGGTAAGTTGACTTGAAGCTGCTATTCTGTCTGATTCACTTAAAGATGGATTATCACGTGCAGTAATTAATGGTAATAAAAGAGAAGGGGCAGCTGGAGACAAGTGGAGAGGTGGTGGGCTTTTAGGTCGTTTAGTACTAAAACATACATTTAAGATGATAATGACAATAATAATAACAAACCAAATATACAATTAGCAAACAATGATTGTGTTATTAAAAGAGAGTAAGAAATAACAGCGAAAAATAATGAGTTAGCAAATAAAATTTATTCATAAATCCTTAGTTGATTTTGATTGCAAGTAAATATTGACCACATAATGATAAAAAAATCCTAAGTGAAAACGATATAGTTTATCATTAAAGTTTAGTACACCGGTTACACGTTAGGAAATACATCCGTAAAATAGTACGAAGTTTAAAACTGAGTTTTAAGTTTCTTCTTTTATTATCCAAAGATACGAAAGAAATCAAAAGATGTATAAATCATACAAACTCCTTAGTTTACTGAATGTTATCTGTTACTAATGAATTCGTACAGAAACCGACTATGTGGTTGGGTGCGGTTTATATATATCTTTAAAAAATAACCTTATTTCAATCTAAATCCTACTTTAATATTAAAATTAACTGATTGCCTATGCAATTATTGACCAAATTCTTTTGTTATCCACAATGTACATGTCGTAAATTATGAGAATTTCATATCCAAAAGTTAATATCTATCTGTATTTCCGATATAATTCTAGAAATTTCTGACAAAAGTTCATAGATCATTTAGTTAACACCTAAGCCTGATAGATGAAATGACTTCAACTCAAAATTGCGTATAAAATAATGTAGGTAAGTACAATTAATTGGATTCAAAACTAAAAATTCAATGAATCACCAATAAAGCACTTCTTCATTTCTTGAAAATACATTGTATCGCTATTGCTTAAATTGATAGAAATCTTAAACTTAGAATGTTTAGTAGTGGTCCGCAAGAAGCCATAAAATTATTACTAGCCAATGACATATGCTTCTATTTATTTATTTGAATATAATTCGAAATTGAGAAGTGACTATATCACACTGATCACTGAACAGTTGTCAATGTCATGTTTGTCTAGTCCCTGGTACTGATTGAATTCTACTGATCAAGTCGCGACAAATCTAGGTAAAGGGTATCCTAGTGAACACTTTTGAACAAACACGTAACACTAGTGATTCTATCAATTAATTAAAAAAAATAGTTCATATCCTTTTTTAAAATAACTATTTGAATTATGAGTTTTGAACTTATGATATGCTATAGTCTGACAGACTAAATGCATAATTTGTGTGCATTGGTATACTTAAGAGATTTGATGAGTATATAAACAAGTTGTGATTATTCGTCTTGAACTTCGGTTAGTTAGATGTTCAGAAAAACAAACAAGTGAAAAAGTAAACATGCACAGTTTACTATTAGATGGATAACACAGGTTGTTTACCATCTTAACCGTAAGATAATTATGAAAATTAATACAAACTAAACTAAAAATAATTGTACTATAATAGTAGACAGAACCAAAAGAATGTATATTAAGAAACCTCAGTTAATTAAAATAGCCAATTGAGTCATTGAATAAAAGTAAGGAGAAATTTTTTTTATTTTGATTTAAAGTTCAATTAGCATCCATGGAAAACTTACCGACTATACTCTCCTGTATAAGGTGCAGTTATTACTGAAGTATCTCTTGTTATAAAAAATTCAAATGGTGTTTTCATTGAAAGTTCATCAAAGTTATTCGAGACAGTCAAAGTTGGATCAGTATTAGATGATGACAGATATTGTTCAAGTAATTTTTTATCATTTTCTGGAAGCTAAAAAAAATTAGCATAACAGCATATGGTGTAGTTATTGATAAATGAATTAGAAGATAGCTCAAAACGATGACCTCATTGTCATGTTCTTCATGGCAGGACGTGTTGAGTAAAAATCAAAAATGATCAGGAAACTAACAGTATTAGTATATGGAATAATTAAAAAAATTCAGTCAGTTAATTAGGTACTAATAAATAGTGATTTAAGATTGTAAAATCAAATCCATATACTTCAATTAAAGAATATTTTCTCGTTCATATTACTTCTTTAGTACGCCTTTCTAGTTCAGACACTGTAACAAAATCTTTTGATAAACCGAGTCCATCGAATGTTACGTCTACATCAAGAACTATAACTGTATACGAGCACTGGTAGGTATGCCTAATGAAGAGCAAACGCTTGATAGATACATTCATATCCAGGCCTGAAACCACCAATAAATTTATTCAACAATGCAACCTGGTGACAGGATGAAAGCACTGTTGATACTGAGTGTCACGCAGGTTGCTTACACACCCACTGAGTAGGATCTCTAGTGAGTAACCCAGTAAGCTAGGTTGAGTCCCATAAAAATATAGAAACGACGAATAGCACATGTCGATACTAGCCAACAATCAGATAAATGTTCAAGTACTATTTTATTTACCAGTTGCATGAAGACTGGTGATAATACCTAGCTGCTCAAAAATAGGTGTAGATGAAGAAGATTCACACTCGTGACCCAAGATGTAGCAGTCGCATAATTTCGTACATTAGAACATACCAATACCTATCATTATATTCTAACATGTGAACTGTAAGTAAACCAATACAAGTTGCATTCCAAGATGATGAAATTTAGATGGTATACACAAAAATCATTACCGACAAATACACACCAAAAGTTTTACACAACTTACATTTCCAATATGCTGCCAAAATAAGGATCCTAAAAACTTATAAGCTACACATAAACAATTCAATGCAGATTTCTTCACTCCAGAATCAGAGTCAGCAAGTTGCTGGGCAATTAGTTTTAGATGAAGTTCTGAAGTAAATCCTTTTAGGTCACCGGAACGCGGTATAAGACTAAGTAATTCATCAAGGCAAACTGAAAGAAAAGTAATACAAACGATCTAATAAAATATAATCAGAATAGATTATAGAAAAATTCGATAATTAACTAAAATTAAAACAAAATAATACTATATTAACTACTCTATAAATATTATGATGGTAAAATATAATAAACCATTATAAGTACAGTTATGTAATTCGAGAGACGATCAATAATCCACAGAAAATGTTACCATCAGAAGTGGACCAGAAACTAATTCAAGTTATCTTATAGCTAAGAACCACAAAAAAGAGTAGGTTATTGAAACAGGAACAAATCTCACTAAATTGATTAGGTAGTTTAAGATAGTTTATGAATCCGGTGTCCATCTTGTTGTGTTAATGAGGTATGGCAACTTGGACCGATGCATATATGTGCCTGGTCCTACGTTGTAGCTGACTGACTGAGTTTAAGATAGGCTTAAATTACGATATATATGGATAATGAAACGTCTAACTAAAACTGATAAAGATAACACTATTACTAATTAATTATTAGTCCCTCCATTGAATAAGATTAACATGAGAAGAGAAGTGATTAAAAAATAAAACTGAGAAATAAACACACAACTTCAAAACAATGATTTGAAAAACTACTTATTTGAAATCCCGACCGTTGTTGCTACCTTGACGTGGTGGTCGGGCTTGCCTATCGTGATGAAGCAACCGAGCTATACTGGCTGGAACAACCGTTCCTCAAGGTCCTACCATGTCAGACAGGTCGGTTGAAGAGCGGTAAGACTAAAAGCAACAAAACCAAAGGTCCGAAGGCGAAGTCGTACTGCTGACTGTACAGAGGTGTGACAGCAGTAGGGTGTTTCCTTCAGACAACCAATATGACAGCGATGCTGCCTCCCCACAAGGGGAGGTCGGGTTAGAAAAGGCCGACCCTAAAAATGCACACCTCGCCTTATCCCACGGATATACGTCTCCGGCGGTAAGGTCTCAACAAGTACGGAGCTAACACGAAACTTACAAAGAGGTCGTGTGTGACCGACCTCAAGCAGATGTCCCTTGTGGTCACGCTCTCAGGTCACTAAGACAACCTTTAATCCAATTTCCTTTTCAGGTACCTCCAGAACAACCCTTCCACAGTGTGGGCAACCGGGAAGTGATAACCGCCCTCATACCTCTAACAGCACTCAAGACCAATGCATTCCTAATCAACCTCCGTCTTCACTTCCTATTACTTCTCCTACATCGACTTTCACCTCTAAATTTCCTTTTTCGGCTTCCCCTTAAGTGTCACCATAGCCAACGATTCTAGTGCTCAAAACACTGTCCCAGGTCTACTGAAACTTCGCTCCAAACTACACATTGGAGCCTTCAACGTACGCACCCTATGTCAAATCGGTCAACAGGCTTCCTTGGCTGGAACCCTAGAGTCTCTTACCATTGATATGTGCTGTGTCTCCGAAACACGCATACAGGATTCCAGTGTGGTTATTCACTTGACCTCACCTTGGCAAAACGGAGAGCCAACGAGATACACCCTTCGTGTATCTGGTGACCCGATGGCAAGTTCTCGTGGACTGGCAGGTGTAGGCATAGCACTAAACATGAGGGCGGAACAAGCACTGTTCGAGTGGGTCCCCGTTAACAGTCGTTTATGTGCTGTTCGGCTGAACGGCCACGTAAGAACTCAGAAGGATAGGGACACACGTCGTTGCCTTTTTGTCGTTTCTGCCTACGCTCCCACTGACTGCAGCTCAGATGAAGTGAAAGATGAATTTTACAGAAAGCTATCTGAACTTCTTCAGAAAGCTAAACGCTCAGACATAGTACTCGTAGCAGGTGATTTTAATGCTCAGATAGGCAGTTTAAACCAAACAGAAAGGCATTTAGGTGGATATTTTAGTATTCCGACACAGCGAACAGATAATGGTGATCGTCTGCTGCAGCTATGCTCAGACAATCGTTTATTTTTAGCAAATACAAATTTTAAGCATGAGGAGAGACATTGTCTAACATGGCGACCCCCTACACCAAACCAACGATGGACTCAAATAGACCATATTGCCATCAGTCATCGTTGGAGAGGGTCGGTAGAAGATTGTCGCTCATTTTGGTGTACCTGCTTGGATTCCGACCATGCCCTAATACGGGCACGCATCTGCTTGCGCCTCACTGGACGCAAAAAAGCTACAGTAAAAAGACCCATTAGAATTGAATCGAATAGCGAGAAAACCAAAAGTAGGTTCCCGGAACAACCGAGGTCACCCTTAGGTAGTTGTGAAGACGAGGCTGACCCAGATGTTGCTTGGAAAGCTATACAGACAGCTATGGAAACAGCAGTGACATCTATTAGTGACTTAAACCACAGAGTTGCAAGGAACCAGTGGATTTCTTCAAGGTCTGTCACACTGATGGATTCTCGCAAACTCGTCCCATCAGGTTCTGAACATGATGAAGAGCGTAAACAAATCAGATCTAGGTTAAGAAAAAGTCTAAGGAACGACCGTGAGCAGTGGTGGGTAACGAAAGCAAAAGAGATGGAAAAGGCGGTGGCTATGGGGAACACAAGACAGTTCTACAGACTAATAAAAGAAACTGGAATTAAAAAGTCAAGTGCGAGTCAGACTATTTAGGACAAAGACGACACCCTCATCTGCTCCCAGTCCAGACGTTTAGAACGATGGGCGGAACATTTCAGAGAACAGTCCAACTGGCCTTCAGCTACTCTACAACTACCCTCCATTCCCAGACAGTGTGAATGGAACATTGAAGTAGGTCCCCCAACTCTAGCAGAAGTTCAAAAGGCTATAGCTAATCTGAAACGAGGAAGGGCAGCTGGTCCAGATGGATTAGCTCCAGAGGTCTTTAAGGATGGTGGTCCAATTTTAGCGATTAGGTTGACTAATATTTTAGCTAAGATCTGGGAGTTAGACGTTATTCCATCTGACTGGTCGCAATCACTTATCGTCCCAATATATAAAAGAGGGTTAAAATCATCCTGTGACAACCATAGAGGGATTAGTTTAACTAATATAGTATCTAAAATACTAGCCTCGATAATTATCAGACGCCTAACTAAGACTCGTGAACTGCAAATACGAGAGAATCAAGCTGGCTTCAGACCTGGTTGTGGCTGCATCGATCACATATTCACCAGTCTTCAGGTTCTAGAACATAGGCATACTTATCGGCGTCCGACAATGGTGGTCTTTCTTGATTTGAAAGCAGCCTTTGACTCCGTAGACCGCGAGATTCTGTGGCAGTGTCTGTCATTGAAAGGTGTACCTCAGAAGTACATAAACCTAGTAAAGGCTCTTTACTCGAACACTACTAGTCGAGTCAGGGCTTATGGCGAACTGTCATCTGCTTTTGCAACCTCAAGTGGTGTCCGTCAAGGCTGTCCACTTTCTCCATTTTTGTTTAGCTTCATCATAGACCTATTGATGGAAATAACACTCTCGTCGACTGAATTCTCGGGTACTGATCTCCTTCCAGGAGGTCCACTTATCGACTTGGAATACGCAGATGACATAGTCCTGTTTGGTGAAAACGCTGACAAAATGCAGAGTCTTCTGTTAGCACTAAGCAACAATACCAGAATGTTTGGGATGCGCTTCTCTCCCTCTAAATGCAAGTTGTTGCTTCAGGACTGGTCTGCGTCAACACCCGAACTAAGGATAGGGAGTGAAGTAGTCGAACGCGTTGACAACTTCACTTATCTTGGAAGTCTGATCAGCCCTAATGGGTTGGTGTCTGACGAAATCTCAGCACGGATTCGAAAAGCTCGTTCGGCTTTTGCCAACTTACGTCACCTTTGGCGGAGGCGAGATATCCGTCTATCAATAAAAGGACGAGTATACTGCGCGGCAGTCCGTTCTATTTTAATTTACGGCAGCGAAACATGGCCATTAAGAATAGAAGATACTCGTAAGCTACTAGTATTTGACCACAGATGCCTTAGAAATATTGCTGGCATCTGCTGGGATCACCGGGTAAGTAATAGTGAGGTTAGACGCAGGGTATTAGGGAATGATGGTAAATCAGTTGATGAGGTTATGAATCTTCATCGATTGGGATGGTTGGGCCACGTACTACGTATGCCCGAACACCGATTACCACGACGTGCAATGCTAACCGGTGTAGAGGATGGTTGGAAGAAAGTTAGGGGCGGCCAAACCAAGATGTGGCATCAGTGTTTGAAGTCACTAACTTCTAGTCTGAGCCATGTTGGTAGATGCAGACTACTTGGTTGGGGTCCGCGTGACTATCGTAACCAATGGTTGGAGACTCTTGGTGACATGGCTCAGAATCGATCACAATGGCGTCGGTGTATACACTCCCTGTCTTCCCTTAAACTAAAAGATTAAAATTACTTCATATCTTTCTTTCTACGAACTAATTCTTTCTTCCCGTACTGTATCCTTATTGCGATCTCTCTTTTATATATTACCACATCTGAATTAGCTATTTTTATGAATCCGGTGTCCATCTTGTTGTGTTAATGAGGTATGGCAACTTGGACCGCTGCATATATGTGCCTGGTCCTACGTTGTAGCTGACTGACTGACTTATTTGAAATGTGTCTTAAATTTTGATTTTAATTCGTTTTATTTATTAAAGAATGTACACTAGAATAGTCATATTGGAGATTATCATACACTGATTAGAAAATAGTTCTCAAGGTTACTCATACTAGTTAGAGTAAACCAGGTCTTAGAAGGGATGAGTCAACGGTTACACCATAGAACACGAATAAATTTGGTAGTGGTCAGTATCGACTAAGATAATAAGAGTTTTGTGGACAGAGAGGTTAGTATAAAATATATAAACGAAAGGTTTAAAATAAGAATTAAGTGAACATCAACGCGAAATACTTAAACGTGTTCTGTACTATATCTTTACATAAAATCCTTCTTTTATATATTAAACCACTGAGTTAACTGCTTCTATGAATCCGGTGTTCGTCTTGCTGATGAGGTGTGGCAACTTGGACCGATGCATATACGTGTCTGGTCTCACTTCAAAAGTGTTGGGGTGATCCAGGAAACTTCCCGCAAAAGACAGGAAAGGATTAGGGAAACACTAAAAAGCATTTTATTTAATCAGCAATCACTTGAAGTTTAGTCAGAAACATCAAGAAAGTGAAAAGTCACATGTAGGGTTTCTGATTGCCTGATTACTATACTGCTGCTATGTTTAGTAGCATTCCAGAATTTTCAGGAAACCCAAGGACATCTAAAATACTATAAAAACCCTGTAGTTTCTGTACAAAAACGAACCTTTGGAATAAAGTGCTTCTCGCATATCTTGCGCCTTTTCTCTCATGTTCAGCTCGCTGCGTAGTTCTAGCTTGGGGGTTACGAGAATAGCTTAGGAACCGAATATAGCGTTCAAGTAGCAAGACTTATCAAAAGAAGCATATTATTACACAGTTTTATACTATTTTAGAATACGATGGATAGGTATAATAGTCACCGAAAGAGACAAAACAAAACAAAAAATACATAACTTACTCTGACGCATTTTTGCAGTACTACATTGATGCATATATTTAACAAGCATGTCCATCAATAAACTAGGAGGATAAACTTGACGTATAAGATGTATTGAATCAGATGCAGCACGATAAATAACTGAATCTTTATGTACAGTTAATGATTGAAGTTGACAATTTAATAATGGGATAAGAATAATATTTACTTCTTGTTCACTTAACCTCAAATCATTTTGAGCAAATAACGAAATTACAGCAGTTAAATACTCGAAGGCTACATGATACATACAAAGAAAATTCATGATGATGAGTATTCTTTAGAATATGCTAGTCAGTAAATAAATTTTAAAATCACACTATCTGTAATATTACGAATATGTAAAAGAATACATTCTTGTAACGCTTTAATCTAAAATGATTACGCAGTGAATGAATGTCTTGACATTTTAATTCACAAATTATGTCCGCTAGCCGCGAGTGCTTACGTAGTTTCACAATGGTATTTCTTATATTTTACCTCACAGTCCCATTGAGAAACGAGAAACGATTAATTTAGAATTCATACGTTAAATATCTTAGGCGATAATATAATTGGAACAAGACTGATTGTAAGAATTTACGAATGAATATGAGTGGATTTTGATCAATACCTAAAAGAATTCCTATGCATATTCCTTGAACATTTACAAGTCGAATGCTTATAAAACGGGAATTTGGTAGCAATACTGAATATTTTCGTGCTCAGCATTCCTTACTGTATTCAAACATATGGTATTGAAAAAAGAAAGTACTATTATTATTATCATGAAAGTTCACGGATTACTTTTAAAATTATTTATCGAGAAAATGATAACAGTCCAAACCACTATGATTGATACGAATCCGATACTTATTAGTAAGAATCCAAAAAGAATTAATTCTCAAAATTATAATGACAAACTGTAATCTTTAGAATGAGTCAATCAAATAGGGAAAGAGCATAGATTCTCATGGATGACATCCTTCTGTAAAGCGAAACACTTCAAGTTAGAAAAGTCATAATAAAGGTCTAATGAATTAGCTTAGTTTCTCGATGTTTGCCTTGAAAGCACAAGATTAAGATATTAGTTGAAAATACATTAAGTGCGTACACCATGTAACAAATTCCAAATTGTGATTTTGTTGCTACGGCTTTCGAGAAACACGATGGGACCTACAGAGGCCTTAAAGGAGCCGAAGCGTTTCCGCCTAATCAGAACCTGATGGAGCTTTCTAGAATATTGACGTGGCATGCTATGATTGAACGGTAGCATAGCTTGCCTCCTTGTGGATTGGCTGAACCATAATGATGTTATAACTAACGCTAATAACTATAAATACACATGTTTTTCTGTACATTTTTGATTCTTACCCAACAATCACTTCTCCGATTTTCTTCTGTCTTCTGATTTGTGACTGTGGGGTTCTACACTTTCAAGTATCACTAGGTATATATCATATTCTGCGTTAATCAAGTAGAGTACGTAATAGATCTGATAACTATTTAGTTTTAAATAGTTCACGGAGTGGTTGATTATACTTTCCGGTGGCAAAGATCCTCCTTAGCATATAATTAAAGTAGATCACATAAGACGGGAAATTCTTCAGAGAATAGTTAAAAATATCAACAAATAAGCGTAAACATTCAATGTTATAAACCATTTAAATAAATATCTAGCGAAGAGATAGCAGAAATATCCATAGTATGAAAATCAAATATATAAAACTGACTCACCACGAGCTAAAACAGCTTTACAATTATGATATTCAGATTGTTCAAAATCACCTTTCAACCAATATCCAAAACAATATTCTTCAATCCACATTAAAATTAAATCAAAATGAGCATATGTGATGATTAAAGGTGATGGCATTGCACTGGTATCTTTTCTATGTAATGAAGAAATCATTCTATCAAGTGCTTCCAGACGACCTTCATATGACGTGGAGAATAACTGTTTCTTTAGATTAGGATGAATATGTGATTCATCAAATAGATATTGCAACTTATCTTTACTGATATCCTGGTGCTAACGAGACAAACAAAAATAAGTTTTTACAAGATGAAAATATACTCATAATAGCTACAAAATATTCAGTCCAATATTTTTTTGCTAAACTGAATTCAACAAAATGAAGTCGATCAACAAATGCATTGAACTTAGATGGTAACCCAAGTCAGTGTAAACCATTTAGCGTCTACAGAATGTAGGCTGTCGAGCGATGGAAAAAGATAGGACACTATGATTGTTAACGAAGTCATATTTTCTCCACACATAACTAAAATATTCTCATAGTATGAAAGTCATAGGCGTATCGTAAAATTTTGAACCATGCAAATTTCAAAATAATTACACTACCATTTGTATTTTTATAATGCTCTTAATACCGTCCACAAATTACAGTTAATTAATTATATACTTGTCACTCAGTTTTGTACAAATGACCTAGTTATTGACAGATAATGATTTCCTATTAATAGTGCGTTTTAGTCTTGTAAATGATATATATCATCATGTATTTTTGAGTCATGATAAAAGGCGTTAAATCAGCTTATTTGCTTTCTTGTGTCTTGATTGGGTAAACTGGAGGCATAAAGAAACTGTGTGGGTCAATTGGTATCAGCATACTAAGTGAGTACTAGTATTGTTGGCCACAGCCGACTCATCACTAATGGATTCAATAAATTAGTGATCTTCTTAGGTTGAATTTACAACAAAATTGAACTATATTATCTGTACAAAAGCATCTAATCACTAAACGTAAGGAATTTCCCTACTAACGAAAAATTCAGTAAATATACTAAACTGACCTTTTTCAAATTTTCCAAGCGTATTTCTTTAGTTTGTAACAAACCTGTTTCATCGTTAGACTCAACAAAGAAAATAGTATCAAAAGTATCGGAATTAGTCATATAAGTTGTTTTACTGGCAATATTACAATGCACGTTTTCTAATTGCATAGGCTGTCTTGTTACCGCTTCAATGAAGCCTTTCCTGAATAAAGAAAATTAAAAAATAAATGGGACCACAAATGATCACTTTCGATTGTGTCGGAAATTTTCTACACGTAATAAGCTCTTCAGTAACCTCTAAAAATAAAGCACAGATTAAGTTGAGAGTATCTAAAAACAAATAGCGATACCATACATCATTGTAAAGGATTCATAATGGTTTTTAATAGTTTGAAAACAATAATTAATGGGTTTTCCTACACTGTTCTTGTATGTGATATTTTTGAGAAAATTTCCGTTAGATAGAAGTTGAAATGATTCTGATAAATAAATTTAATGGAAACTGTATCAACATTCATATAGGGAAGACGAAATAACAACATGAATGCCCAGGCATAAAAACAATAGCGATCATAGTTGAAATAACCTAACATCTCTGTGTAATTCATTCAGTAGCTTTGTTAGCTTACAAATTTGAAGTCCAGCTCCATAAATAACTATTCATACCTTTACATCAGGCATATCTAATCGTACGTCCCGAACAGTTTCTTCGTTTGCGGTTCTCAATTTTGCCGTACGAACTTGTCCGTCAGAGTCATAGCTTACTTTTTCGACAACAGCTTTGGGCCATAGATTTCTCGGTGAGCCAACATTGTTTACTAACACTAAGTCTCCCGAAGACTCATCCATCAATACCTTCTGAAAAAATAGTGATCGCAGAATTCTTCTTATCGACTTTATGATGCGTCCCCATACAGTGCCTCGTTGACTAGCCCTCGGAAGCGCCATTCACAACCTCTCTCTAAAAGGGCATTTACTGTATTATTCTGGTTCCAACTACACACGATCTGCCTCAGAATAGCATTGGCTCCTATAAAACTATCAGATGCACCCTTACTCTTGTTCACAACTCGTACAAGGGCGCCTTTCTCAACACCATCCTCGATACCACGGCGAATATGTGCTACCTGCTTCTTCATTACAGTGGCCTTAGGCCTTTTCGTAGTCTTGACTTTCGGTTTAGTAACCTTCTTTTCTTTAGGCTTCCTCGGAGTGGATTTTGGTTTAACAGCGGAAGGCACTTTGGTTTTCGGTTTAGTAACCTTGGGTTTGGCATCAACAATTTTCTTTTCAGCTACTTTGAAGCTACCAGATGCACCCTTAGTTGATGTGGGTTTATTAGCAGATAGCGCTTCAGTTTTCGGCTTAACAACCTTGTACTTAGTTAATAAAAGGGAACAATGAACTTGACGAGAGACATTTTCGGAACGAGTATACTCCGCAACACCATATGCAGATTCTGATAATGCCATACGATCTTCCACAGAGATCGATGAAGTACGACCAAGTGGGTCTTTGAATTCAGTTGAATACAATTGTTCAAACTTATCTTCTAATTTCTCGTTAAACGAGAAGCAATTCAGTACATGGTTGCTTTCATGGGGTTCTCCGTAAGGGCTGAACAGTGTCCAACCCAATATGGTCCTCACAGCAGATGGTCCACTCGTTTTTCCAGTTCTTATCTCTTTCATCTCGTGTACACCTGGTGCGTTGCACCCGATCAACAGTTTGACGTTCTTATCCTCTACTCTCGGGAAACTTATGTCTTTTAAATGGGACCAGGATACCATTTGTTGCGCCGTTGGCACAGTCCTGTAAACTGCCGGTAATTTTTTGACTGTCAATACTTTCTGGACCTTAACGGACGACGAAGAATCTATCGAGTGCAACTCTACATCGACCTCTTTGGATAACAATGACGATTCATTACTAAGAGTCTTTGAAGATACGGTTTTTGGTTTCCCGTCGAGGCCTAATTTATCAGCTAGGTCATCAACTATGAGAGAGGTATCTGACCCACTATTTAGAAAGGCGCAAGTCTGAATAATCTTCTCACCATTTTTTATCCATACAGGCACTGCTGCAAACGCCACTGGTCTCTGTATACACTTAACGACTTCCTCCATACAAAGCTGAGTGTTGATGTGTGCATTATTATTATTATTATTATTATTATTATCTCCTTGCTCTTCCCGCTGCCTATGTAACAACGTACGATGCCTCCAACCACATCCTTCGACGGCACATGACCTCGGTGCTCGACAGTTTCTTGCTATGTGGTTCGCTTTTGGACAGACATTACACAACTTCTTCTTTGATGCGAATTCTATCCTTTCATCAACATTCTTGTCTCTAAACCTTTCACGTTGATCTAAGGGGTGGTTTCCAGTACATAACAAACATGACAACCCAAGAGTCCTTGGTCTTACATATGGAGTGACATCAGACTCACTCGTGTTAGCGAACGATACTCTCGCTTTATATCCCGAGTCAAAGTGTCTTTTAGTATCAGCCACAGATTGTCTTTGGTTGCGATTAGAAGGGTCACCAGTGACAAGTAATCCATATCTAGTATTAGCAATGTCAGCTTGCTCCTTTACGAACTCAACAAGATCGGTGAACAGAGGCTCTCGGCCTCCTCTGATAATCATATAGGCTACCTTTAGCCACTCTTGTTGAATGTGCGTTGGTAATTTCAGAACCATAGCTTCAATAGTTCTAAAAGAGTTCAAATCAGAAACGTAATTCATCTGTTCGAGAGTCGAACTACATGCTTGCATTTCTTGAGATAGTCTTCTCAACTCATCTGGTTGATTCCTTCTTATATTGGGAAAGTTTAACAAGTTATCGATAAACGTGCGTGCTACGACGTGTTTTTGGCCAGACCATTTCCTCTAAAAGCATTAGGGCTTGATGGTAACCTATCTCTGGTTCTAGTATAGTACAATGAAGGATAGCAGCTTTCGCTTCTCTGTCACAATATTGAATCAAGTAATTTAGCTTAGCTCTAAATCCAATCTTCTCACTCCCAATGCATTCTTCGAAATTTCTAATGAAGTTCCAATAGTTTGTCGGTGTACCATCAAACCTTACTTCTCTTTTTGGCAAATACAGATTTTTTAATATTGTATTCTCACTGTTGCTTACTGATTGGCCGGAACCTTCACACCTCTGGCAGCGTAACTTTCCTAGTTCAATTTCCTTTTCTAACTGGGTTATGCGCAACCTGGCTAACTCTAGTTCTATGATGCTATTGTTTTTGAGTTCGTTCTTTTCAAGTTGATCCTCGTCATAAACTCCCGAATGATGGGGTGATAACTCTGGAATCTCATCGGGATCGTAGTATTTATTGGAAGTCATTTCAGTAGGTATATCGAATTTACTGTTCGAAACTTTGTAGGAAGCAATTTCCTACAGATTCAACTCTAAGCTAATCTCTAGACTGTCGAATACAGAGTCTTGGTTTAGCCAAAGTCAGAACAAGTAAGCTATTTGGCTAGATAAACTTTATCTGTTTCTAAAACATAAATTAACATCGTTAGTGTACAAACAAACAGTACGGTCTATTAATACAGGGAAAAACAGAGACAAATAACATACCGAACAGTAGCCAGAGAATAGGAAAAATGAGTCAACAAAGCAAATATTGTTTTACAATGAACATCAAACTGAGATTGGTTAATAAAGAGATACAGTCGCACAAGGTCAAAGAGAGTTAATGTGGTGGTGGGCGTTTCACTTTATCATTGGTGAGTCCGTCTATCGATCACATTTTACAATGCCTAATGCTTTAAGTTAGTCGATCTTCAGTTAGTAATATCATAAATTCCAATTCTCTACAAAATAACTAATGTACGGATGGGTTGTGTCATATATCATGATTTACAGCTTAGTTTAACGAATCTACACCTAGTTGAACTGCGACCAGCAGTGGGATTCATGACAAGCTTTTCGCCTTACTTGGGACTTATCAGCTGGAAGAAACTTTATCCTTCTGTTGCTACTTACAATGAGATTTGAACCTAGTAATGAATCGATTGAAGCCGTTAATACCGACGATGAGGAAATATAAATCCAGACAAGTGACTATACTCAGTTGTTAAGTTATACATTATGTTATTTAAAGCCTACCCACTAGTGTCGTTTTACCCCCATGTTTTCAATCTTTAATGATTAAATAAACTATTGATTCAAGCAGCTGTTTATTTGTAATCTATTTTTTTCTGGTAAAATTTAAGAAGAAAGAAAAACAACTGGAACCATGTTACAGTTATCAAAGGGTCGGCAGTATTGGTTAAATAGAGAAAATGGGCAAAAAAACCTTGAGTGAAAGAAAACAAAAATTCCTCACAAGCTTTTCTTTATTGAATATGTACAAATGAATAAACAAACATGACATTGGCCACAGCTTAGTGATCTATTAATCGTAAATATCTCAATTCTGCAAGAGGTCACTCGCGGAATAATTCAACATCTCCGATTTTGAAGCTGGGTAACCCGGTTTTGAATCCACCAAGGAGCATCAGTTCACGGAAGATGCCAAGTACGCCTTACTAAAGGGTACCGAAAACGCAAACCTAGATTTAGGATCTCCTGCCAACTACATCCAACTACCTAATATCACAACATAGTGCACATGATATTGAGTTATTAAAACTACTGAAAGCACTACAACTTTATTGATTGTGTTTGATTGCCACTAAGAAACTAGACAAAAAATTGCACTAACCACTACTCAGTAGTTAATCAATTGTATATATACAGCTACATGTTTGTTTTAGGCATTACTTTTGGGAAGTGTTATTAGATAACATAATGTAATGAAGACTAAACAGCCAGAAAACAGTGAACACTTCTAGCTGAATTTAAATTGAATCTCCCTGATCAACAACAATAATCAATCACCAAAATGTTTTAATAACTGTGATAGTTGTATTTAAAAACAATAAAAGTCAGTAGTAAACATATTCTCAAAATGTAGATTATTACTTAACGGGTTCACCAAGTCTAATAACTACTTTTGATTTGAGAAACATTGTGTATTCATATACAGTATTCTAATTACAATCTAATAGTATTATTAGCCAGGATATTTTTATTAATCTGAAATTGCACATGCAACAATTATGTATGCATACGATGTCAGTAAAAACGATGGTTGTATAAACAACCTACTTGTACGGTACTGAACTTCGTTCCGCAACTGGACTTTCATCTGAATCAGAAAATTCCAAAACACCTTCAGCATTAGTAAGTCTTTGTGATGGTGAAATTGATCCTATCAGAGCTGTCATTCTTCTTTCTCTAATCGACCATGCGTCAATAGCAGCTGGTGTTAAAGTTTGTAGTAATCCAGAGAATGTTGAATTATTGTTTTTAGTATCCGAAAGTGGAACAGAATATTTTTCATCACTATTTGCAAATTCTGCTTCCAAACGTTGTAATATTGTTGTCTTTTCAGAAGAGAAAAATGGACGAATATTGACAGTCGAATGTAAACAAGCATGAAGTGCACCAGCTAATCCAATTGCTGAACTACGCACAATAGGTGAAGAAGATCCAAGTCCAAATTTCACAATTTCTATAAGTGGTAGGTGATCAAAACTGAAAACAAATACGCAGCCATGATGTGATATTTAAATGTTATGGATTTACAGAAGAACTTTTGTGTTGAGAAATTAAACAGTTATCTCACCACTTCAGGTAGATAGGAAAAGCTATGCTCCTATTACACAATAAACAAATGAGTCATCATGTCACATATGCTATAACCCAGTGAAGATTAAGTTACAGGTGACTTCCGAGGACTGTTAATAGACTAATGTTCTATAAATATTCTTATTGTACAATTATTCAATAATTATCATGTTAAGTCTAATGGTGTCCTTGGACTTTAAATGGGCATTTCCTATTGGCCAATATTTTTCTCACTTGTCAAATATTGTACAAATGTTGTTTTCTATTTTATGGTACGATGTGGTTTGTTTGATTAGTATATAAACAGAGTATGTCTGAAATAAACGATCTGATTCGATTCGATTCATACTACAGAAGCTGGTATTGTGTTCTGGACTCAAGTGGAAGGGCTAGGAGGACATAGGACCAATCAGGACGCTAAACTGCTCATACCGCTTGAACGTCATTGGTTTGGCATAGTGCGAAATTGTATAAGTCGTATTCTGACTGGTCGATAAGTCGCGTGATAGAAAGCCAGACATCAAGGTCATAACAATATAACCAAAATCTAATTAATCACATATCCTATCGAAACAAAAGAGTCCTGATAATCAACCACTTGGCTTGTTATAAAAATATCAGAACTAAGGAGAAAATGAAGCGCGAACAAGTTTATTCGTGACTCAAATTGCAAAGATTGCCAACGTATTTTAGAAATCTTGGATAACTAAGGCGATTGTTGAAAAAATTATGTTTACATGTTAGAAAGTGCTTACTATTTTTCGACTTATGCAGTTATAATTTTTATATTTTTTAAGCGGTAAATAATACACTAAACAATGATAAACTAAATGGAAAATTTAAGCATTTGATAAGATTTAGATATGATGAACCAAGATTAAAAAACAACATATATTGAAAGACGATTATCAAATGATTTTGGTGCGATCTCAAACAGTTTTAAAAGATTATGAAGATAAAGGACTGTACGGAAAACTTACCTAGAAGAGGTGGAAAACCCTGATTCCAAAACAATGGTGCACATGAACTCTAGGATAATGAGGGAACAAATGTTGTACGAACCTATCCTTGGTCACCGGCTACCATGGTACCCCATATCCTAACGCTGTTCTCTACTGCCTCCTGCGTTAAACATCTAGGTGGAAGAATCGGAAAGTGGTCCCTCAGGGAAACCACCTGTTTGGGTTTGTGCACCCGGACAGCATCATAGCCCAAATAAGAATTGAATGATAACTACTTTGTGTGGTGCATATATTTTTTGGTGCTCTTTTGTATTAATAATTTGGCGTTTAAATAAATAAATAATAATGACTGTAATATACGCTTCAGAAGAAAGTGTGTTGTCTCATTAAAACAGACATATAGTGACATGTGAAGCAGAACAACATGTATATCAACTACAAAACTAGTTATTTGTGAACAGCTAAGAAACTCTTAATCGTAAAAATATTCACTCACCTAGAATCTAACGACCTTATGGACGAAGATAACCACTTTATGAGTGAAGAATGAATTGTAGGAGAAACGTTTTTCTTCAAACCTGCATTAATGCACTCAACAGTTTTTGTAAAGCCTATGACATTCATTAAATCTCGAAGAATTTGTTCAACTAAGGGACCGGATTTAGAATCTCCAATGGTAGCGAATAACTGGTCACAAAGCGATATTATCAAAGTCGTAGTAATCCAATTTTGAGATTTATTTTGTGATAATAATTTCGACAAGATATTTAGGATTTCACAACGGACCTAAAATGTAAAATAAATGATGGTTGAGCTTATAGTTCGACGACAAAAGTACTTCAGTGTCTCCAGAAAAACTAATTATAGAAAAGAGCAGTAGTGATTCTTAATCAATCAGAAAAATTTTAATGACAGATGGTCAGTCAGTTAGTCATAAGCAAAGAAGAAACTTGCCATTTCATATCAGCACACCAAGATGAAATTATCAACACAAATACCAGACTGGTAGAGGTAATAATAATATCAACCGTAGTGGAAAAGATTAGGCGAAGACAATATGATTCGAAAAAAATAAATTAGTTGAATATAAGTGCAGGATAATTTATAACTTAAGATCTAAGGGAAGACAAAGGGTGAATGTGACCGGTTCTGAACCATTAATAGTGACAAAATTAGTATATAGCTTAGGACTACACTAAACTAAGCTTTCTACACACGCCTAAAAACGAATTTGTTGATTACAATATCGTCCGGAAAAAATCATTAAATGCTCATCAAAATAACAGATACGTTGACCCTGTTTAATGGCGTCCAAACTGTAACACGTACTAAATGCATCTGATGATAAACGTACGAGTATATTTCGTTCTTTTTGGTTACATAGATGAACAGTGATAATCCGACTAGTTTAATAGTCGATCTTTCATTCACAGAAGTATTCGAAACTGTCAACCGACCTAATTTTCCTGAAAATTCAAGATGTTTTATATGTAAAATGAAAAATCCTCAACTTTTAAATAGCTGTCTCCCTTATGGAAAATGAAATTTAAAAGTTTTTCACCGTAATCATGGAAGTATATGGTTGACGCTAGGCATGAGTATTGTATTTGATACGTATCAACTTGAAAAAGATCCATAAACGGATTTTTCTGCTACTGCCACTGCTTAACCTTGTAATAGTCTCTGAGCGTGCATTATTACTTACTCCTGTTACTCCTCGTGGAGGAGCATAGGCCGCCCACTGACATTCTCCAAACAACTCTGTCCTGACCAATCCTTTCCAGTTGTTTCAAGTTGTCATTCATTATTTTGATGTCCGCCTCCACTTCCCGACCCGATATGGTTTTTGATCTTTCACCTTTCTTTTCCCCTTCAAGTTAGCACTTGCCTTGTGATGCAGTTCGATAATTTCCTCAATGTATGTCCTCCTATTCACCTGAAGCGTCTTTTCCTAATTTCCTCTTTATATGGAAACTGGTTTGTTCTCTTACACAGTTGGTTGTTGTTGATGGTATTCGGCTAATGGGTACTTAGTATCCTGCGTAGACAATTGTTTGTAAATACTTGTACATTGTTGATGATGGTTGTAATAGTTCTCGAAGTTTCAGCTCCGTGCAGTAGAACTGTCTCGGCGTTCTGACTTTGGTGTTAGCTGACAGTTGTTTTGAGTTCCAGATGTATTTTAATTGTAGGAATGCTACCCTTACTTTACCGATTCTTGTCTTTACGTCTGCATGAGATTCTCCCTGTTTTTCGATGATGCTGCCCAGGTACATGAAAGTTTGGACCTCTCTATCAAGTGTGATTTGGTCTGCCTGAAGTGTTTTGGGGGTTACTGCCAGCCGTAAGCCCACATAAAAGAAGAGGGTTGGGTATGGGGTTAACAACCTATCTCGTGGAACAGGACTTTGCCAAACAGACGCTAACCTGGTGCAATATACAATCACATAATTCAGTGTTCCAATCATGATTATTCAGTAATTTTATCAATAAGATGAAGTTATCAAATAACTTACACGAAAATTATTATCTTTCACTGTCCCACAATGTAGAATATACTGAAGTAAGTAATGAATATCAGGATATTCTGGAGGATTGGAGTTAATAATAGCATTGATACGTTCAGCAATTTGTAAACGAATCTTCCAAGAAGCATCATTTAATTGTCCCAGTGGTACATTTACGAAATATGTTCTAGAAACAAAATGAGAAGAGATTATACAATCACTTAGTGGGAAATAGCTCAATTATGAAAAATACCCGGATATTAAAATGGTGGAAATTTTAATAACTTAAGAACATTTCTGAGCTTAAAGGCTTGATGATAAAGCTTTATTTGTCAATCCTGGATAACAGAATCAGCACAAGTACTTTATCAATGACGTGAACTACAAGAAAATACTTTACAAGTATAAATCTAACAAATTATTTGAACGATCTGTATCTATTAATTCATTCAGATTAATTTTGGCACTCCTCTGATATAAGTAACTTACAAAAATGTAAAGTTAAGTAATTAACTTCATTTCCGAATTTCAACTAAGCAGAAACACTTTTTTGGAGAGACAATAATTTATGGACGAATTAATCAGGTTTAGGATAACAGGTCTTAGATTTTGGTGCGAAATTCATCTACCCATTTGGCCAAATAGTCTTGGCATTTTAGCTGATGTCAGCTCGTGATGAAAAACCATAAAACGAATTCTTAACCCTAACCATCAACTGTTAATCATAATCCTTATACTTCAAATTGCTTTGTAATCCTCATTTAGCTCTAGTAAGTCGGTAGACACTATTAAGGTCACTTTGACATCGCTCAAAAGTTGTCCATAAATTATGGTCTCATCACTTTTTCCTTATTATCATGGTCGACTGGACAACTGTAAATAAGCTCATATATTTTTACAGAACGACCAATAACTACAACTGGTGATTCCAAGAGTACAAATACATCGAACATTACATTCGGTTATATTATTTAGAAGTGAGTATGTACTTCTGGGATTTGTCTTGAGAACTTTATCTCTTTATGCTAGCGTGATAGAGAAGCTTGAACAGATGCACATATGTCAGGTTCTAGTTCTACGTTGCGTATGACTGACTGATTAAGTTTTACTTCCGATTCATATCACCACTATTAACTTCACATTAAAACAATTTGATTCATCTGTTTTCTCTGCAGTATATTGTTTATTTTGGTTTAAAATAGTCTAAACTCCTAATTTGATTAATTACTTCAGAGTACATGACGATGTTTGTGAGTTATTCAATTTTTCTACCAATAACATAAACCATACTGTTACTAAAGACTAATATGATATGAGCAAAACTTACTCGGAAAGCCTGTTCCGTAAATGATCTGGAGACAAATTCAAATCTTGAGGCTGACAATTTTCAATTCTTGGCTTGATAACGTTTTTATTTCCTGCTTTCACTTTACCCTTCCCAGGAGGTTGTTTTAATCCTTCACGTTGTACTGAAGAAGGGATTTTCGACACACTCGATTTTAAAGCTGATACTTGAATATTTTGTTTAAAATTATGTAATGTGGACTTTTGATTCGTTGAAAATGGTGTACTGGATGACACATGACCTTGCATAGGATTTTTAAAAACTTCATGTAATGACTGTTTTCCAATTTTAACAGGTTTATTCGAAATACCAGGTGATGCTCTGATAGCTAAAAATTCAAAAACATTTATTAATGACAGACACTGTTTTTTTGTTGCTTACAAATGTCTAATTTATAATTTTCTAACGTTTACTGCTCATTTAGGACTCTATGTGCTATATTACCAAGGAGCACCAAAACTTTTTCTGGAAGATTATAATGTCAGTTAAAAATTGTACGCAGCGCTCCAATAGAAGACAACTGTATATGTAGTTTTACTTATTTAAATCATAATCTCTACCAAAATAACATTTATTGAGCATTAGTAACGTGTGATCATTTCAATGTTTACTAGTTAATTTTCTCATTATTGTATAAAATAACAAATTGAGTGCATACATCGGAAATTTCTAACATATATTCCAAAGTACTTTTAAGTAACTTAAGAAAATTAAGAGAAATGACATGATTTTGCAACTAAAAAGCAATTGTCTTTGACGTCTAACACTGAAATAGCTACCATCAAGTTCACTTTGCAACGAGCAGAAAAATTTGAACTGCATCATTTTCTTGGAGTACGTTGGCTAAAGTCGAACCGCTAAATTGATGATCAAACGTCAAATCTCTAAGCTTTACTGAAGAAAACTACAGACCATTATAGTAGTGAAATGAATAGAGGATCCAAAGCAATCGATAAGTCTTTATATAAACATTTGCTTACGGGTAACAGGGAAGTCGAAATCGTCGGCCAGTTGTTGTTGTTGAACACGTGAATCTTTAGATTTAGATTTTGTGATCAAGTTTGCCGGATCAGAATTTGCATGGGGTATATTGTTTTGTAATAAACCTTCATTTAACTGCAAGAAAGCAGCGTCGACCCTGAGGCGTCGAGATTCGTCCAACAAGTTATCAATAATGGCACTGAATTGCTCACTGGTAAAGTCTAAAAAAATACGATTTGCAGCAAACACCTGAAAACACGCATCACGGCATTCCGGAGCTTTGTGCTGAGAAAATTTAGCAACATTAGATAAAAGAGGTTTTGAAATTTTTAAGCGTTGTGAAAGTTGAAGTTCTCGCCTTAAATTACTTTTACAAAATATGTGAGCAAGCAAACGCAAGGCTTCAGCCTGTGTTTTTGCCACTGGAGTACTCAATGCAGTCTGAAGATGCACTAAAGCCAGATCAAAAGACATCTACAAGATAAACAAAAATATTGATGTGTACTGTATACCAAAGCACAGTTCAACATACAATCCCTTGAAAAATGTCTTACAGATACTATTATGAGAAAAATAAGACCAAAACGAACTTTAGAAATGAATAAAGTGATAGAACATAAATCAGTAGAGACAGAAAACTAAAATAATGCACACTTTTATCCACATGTTTGCATAATGACTGTCATCAGAGACATTTTGGTATAATTTTTATGGTTACAATATAGAAAAACAAGTGCACTATACACTGCATATATGTCATCGTCGGATAATCTAGAGTAGCCATCGAACTCCAATGAAACATTGATCCGATTTAATTTTGAATATATTTCCTTAGATTTTTCACGTTGAACAACACGATTTGAAGTTAAATACATCAGCTACACATACCAGCAGGCAAAATATGATGAAGAAAGGTGAACAAATGAATGCAGTACGAATGTTGCCTTGTAGCTAAACTACTGAATGAATTTGTGATTCAGTTTGCATACGGTTAAATTTAGTGCAACAAATAGATATGCAAACATATAGAGAAACAAACACAAATGTATGTAAACGTATATTAGAATAAGCATAATGTGGTCAACAAGGGGACACATATATAAAGGTTTATAAAATAAATAAGAAGATTGGCATTGTTCATCAGTCATACAATGTCTGGTCTTACATTTACTTATAATAGAATAGATTTACATAGGAGTGAAATAAGAACTGCTACAAACCTACAAACAATACAGTGATTTAATTCACTACACTGGAATAATTATAATAGCAGTAATTAGCTGAACAAGGATCTTTTCAGCAAATAAGACGGATGACTACCAATGAAAGCTAGGGACTGGTACGTAACGATAACTAATGAGGACAGTGGTCTGATGTGTTTTAGTGTATTCGAGAATCAGTAGGCGAAATTCAGAGGTTTCGCAAAAAAATACATCCACTAAAATCACATACTGAACAACCACAAAGAGTTAACAGCTAAAGAAATATAAGAATTGAGTGTATAGTTCTAAGAATAGTCGGTTGATTGGAAGATTGCTTTGAAATGACTGTCCGACAATTCATGAATCTTAGAAACTTCACACCCTGATATAGCTTATAATTTGAGTTTAAGTTAACTCATTAAGCCATGAACAATAAATACTTTGGAAATCTAAGTCATAATAATACATAAGCAGTATCACTGGATTTGAACTCATGGTTTTATGGTTGATAACTATTTTAAATACTTGGAATGTTGGTAAAATATTTGTTGAGTAAAAGTGTAAACTGACAACTGAAAGTCAATAGAATTAATAGATACTGAAGGAAATAACCGGAAATGTCTTAATTATGGACGAGAGGGATTTATTCCAAGCATAATCTTGCACATAAAATTGAATGTTTGGTAACTGTTGTCTATTACTTACGTCATGAAGCGGAGATAAGTACACAAATATACACGGCATGTTACTATTTTACACAAACAGTTCCTTTTTAACATGACTAGTACACACTAATGTTGAATAAACAAATTACGTCAATTAAAAGCATGAATAGAATTAAATGAGCTTTCTTTAAAATATATAATGGGAACTAACTGTATCCACAATGGCAGTTGTGGCCGAACGTAAAGCTAGAGACAAGTTAGCTTTAGTGTCCTTAAATTTTAATAAACAAGTAGTTAAAGCACGTTCTGAATGAACGGTAAAGCCATTATTCATTGATTGAGCTAATTCAGATAAGACACCAGCTGCACGAATTACCAACATTGAATGTTTATCAGATGTAATTACCTAGAGAGATAAGAGAGGGGAAATACCATAAAAACACTCGGGCATCAAGAAACAGATATCCAAGCAAATTATAGTACACTACAAATAAACTAGTATTCTTAATTCTAATTACATATACAAAAAAACAGGCTAATACGCTGGCGGCAAATTAAATTTGTTAATCAGAAGATAACGATTAGAAATAGCTTGTCAAACCGTAAGGTTAGGTTTAAACGTGTGATGTTAGGGTCAAGTGCCCAACCTAATAAACCGTGACTGAGTTCATGATGTTAAAAAATAAGTTAAACAAAAAAAGTTAGATCGCGAAAGATAAGTAGCTCATAAAAACCATGTATACACAGAAGGCAGTATTTTGTGTATCCTTTATTTACATATACAGAAAGCACTATTGACTGACCTCCAAGCTGCCCTGCAGAAACTAGTATTTTGTCATACGATTTGACTCCTTTGATCTCCAAATAATGTGACGTCAGGTGTACTCATAATGTGGTTTTCTCAACGGCTTAACGATTAGAATAATTGTTTAAAAAACATATGCAAAATTAAAAGTTCCTGGTTAATTTGTTCGTTTAGTGTAACCTTCTTAAGAAAGTCAAAAGCCGTGTCCGGAACATAAAAGTATATAAACTAGTTACATATCATCTAAATAACTACAGATTTCAGATGTGATAATGAATCTGTAGATACAAAGCTTACAGTGATACTATAGCATGATGAAGACATTCGGACACTCAACATAATATTCTGTTATAGTTAATAATAGTGAGTCAAAAGTTGTCCGCTTAACACCGTTATTACGCTTAACGTCACCCATTTTAGGATAAAACCAATAAGAAATTAATTCAAACTAGCTTAATGATAGTTATACAATAGTTAATGAGATACGAAAAATTCTTACTTGACATAATGCTTTAGTGACAAGCCCACAGATCGCATCGGACAAGGTAAAACATTTTAACTGGTTACTGATTACTTCCAAAACTTCTTTTCGCTCTTGCCAATTGCTTGACTCCTATAAATTTAAAGTGGTGTTAAATAATTGATGAAAGGTTTTCACAATCTTTAAAAGAGAGCTTTTTGCAATAGATGTCCGAAGGTACTATTTCAAATTATAAAACGTCTTTGTAACTCGAAATCCTGCATTTATGGATATTTATACGTAAGCTGTAAGAAATCGTAGATATACGATTTGATTGGCAGTATACATTACTACAGAGTAATACTAGTTTCAGTAAACTAATATCTCAGAGATTGTAACTCTAGATAATAAGTGACAACCACAGATAATATCACCGTATGACCATAAGACTACATCAACTATACTTAGTCGGTGGGTGGTAACGAATAATACGAAGTTTACTCCTTAGTGACGTTCAATGTGATCATTAATGGTATTTACAAAGGCTTTTGTACACACATATATTTACTAATTTGAACACAAACATTGGTACAAGGGGGTACCAAATACGTATGTGCCACACAATAAAAATGAGGTTGTGAAGATAGAGAATGTAAAGTGCGCACAATAAAAGGAAGAACGACAACGATATTGATATTATTATTAATATTAATAATAATAACAGTAATATAATAACAATAATAATAATAATAATAATGGAAGCAGTTCAGTTGGTAAAAATGCAACCGGACAGGATTCTTTCAGTTAAAGTAGTTACTTTCAATCAGGATCGCCATTGACTTATCTTCTGTGCCATTTCCGACAACGTCTCAAGCCACTGCGTTGCACCATTTTTAGGACTCTAATCAGGGAGTCGTGAAAGACCAAAAGAAGCCAGTCCTGTACAGCTTTCTTTCATATCACAACACCATGTCATACACTAACCATCTCTCCGCTTTTCCAACCAGTCCCACTGTCGGCAAATAATGCACGACGTGGAATTCTCTGGGACGACATTCGTAAGACATTTCCAAGCCACCGAAGTCGATTTTCCAAGGTAGTGACACCAATTGAATCATCGTCACTGTACCTGAACACAAAATGCTGAACCTCTGCTTTATTAACATGGTGTTGGCACTGGATGTCAGCAATCCTTCGGAGACAACGACGATTGAACATAGAGAGTCGTCTAACATCCTCAACTCGGAGAGGCCAAGTTTCACAAGCATAGAACAAAACTGTTCTCACGGACGCGTTGTAGATCCGAGCTTTTACAGCCAGACTAACATCACGAAGGCGCCAAAGATGGACCAGATTGGCATAAGCTGCTCTGGCTTTCACTATACGTGAATTGATTTCATCACTCACGCCACCACTAGCACTTATGCAACTACCCAGATGCACAAACTTCTCGACTACTATCCGCCCACTACTCAGGGTGAGTACAGGATTAGAATCCTGCCAGCCTTTTAAAAGTACTTTGCACTTCGTAGGTGCAAAGTACATACCAAACCTACGGACACTAATTACCAACTGATTAAGTGAGGATTGCATGGATTGGGTATCATCGCACAGTAAGACAATATCATCTGCATACTCAAGGTCGAGAAGTCTTTCTCCAGGTAACAGACCCACATCACCATTACCTACATCCATCAGAGCTGTTTCCAGAACGTCATTGATAACAAAGTTGAGGAGGAATGGTGAGATTGGGCAACCTTGTCTAACCCCACTGCTCAAATGGAACAATGGAGACAGGTGGTTGTATGCCCCTAACTCTGCCTGAGGTATTAGTATATAGGGTTTTTAAGATGTTAATAAACCTCAGGCACACTCCCGTTCAATCAACGATTCAAGAAAACAGCTCCATCCAACGAATCGAAGGTGGTCCTAACGTCAAGAAACACTACGATTGTTGACCTGTATTAAGTATGGTGGTGTTCTAACATTTGATGCAGGGTGAAGATATGATTAATACATCCTCAACCAGAACGAAAACCAGCCTGCACCATACAAGTCAATCTTTTTCAGGTTTTGAACAACCTACGAAGTATGACGGAAGCCAATAGCTTGGACGCAATCGGAAGTAGACTTATCCCCCGATCGTTGTTGTAGGAACGACGTGAACCTATTTAAAGGACAGGAATAACTATCGACTCATTCCATGATGTTGAAACACTCTAATTGCCAGACCTTTGTAAACAACTCAGTTCCTTAACCCGAAAGTCACCACTATTATCAGAAAGGACTGGAGTTAGTCATCAGGGGCCCGGTGATTTGTAGCTCTTCAAGAGTTGGAATTCCTTGTGAACTTCCGTTTTGTTAGGTGGATCGGTCGTCACAGGCCATGGAGAACAGGACAGTCTGGTCGATGTCGCCGAAGCAGCAAACCAGCTAAACTGTCCCTCGAAAAACTCTATCCACCGTCCAAGACGTTGGTAGATGTTATTGATTGGCATCCCGTCATTTTCACAAATTGTTGCTTTTGTACATGCTGCAAGTTTTAGGTGAATTTCTGAATATCACACTAGCTAGTATTGTGAACAGGATCTAGATGCAAAGAAATGACACTAAACAAGTTGAGAGAGAAATTAGATGAGGTTTAGCACAAATTACCGTGTATAGACTTTTAAACTACGTTAACCCTTGATCAGATAGAGTATGCATTCAAGTTTCTTCGTATGATTAGTGAACAGAGACAACACACCAACAAATAAATATATCAAAACCAATTAAACTGAAGGTATATAATTGGATCAGTCAGCTTAACACAACGTAGAACATGACATGTGAGTCGGTTCAAGTTTCCATATCACATTAGCACAACGAGATAAAGTTATCAAGGTAAATCTCAGAGTGGTAGAAGTAAAAACCGCAGAAAAGATTAGGTATAGAGAAAGAAACAAAGGTACGAAATTTCGAAATTGAAGTTCTAAGAGAAGATAAGAAGTGAATGAACCTGTGCCATTGTGAACGATTCTGTGACATGTCATCCAAAGTCTCTGACTATTGGTTACGATAATCACGCGAACTCCAACTAAGCAGTTCACAGTGAGAGTATACTTCTAGCTTACTCTTACATCTTACAGTTGAGGTAGGCGATAGTTGGGCCTACGTAAATAAGTCTCAACCACCTCTCAGTTGATGAAAATTTACTACCTCATCATTTGATTTCCCAAACTTACTTAGCACCCTATGCCTAAAGTCGGCATTGCTTAGTCGGGTTATGTGGCCCCAAAATACACGAGTAATAATTTGAAGACACCTATGACCAAATACTGGTAACCTACGAATATCTTTGTTATGGCTCAACGCGACAGCCGATTATATGACAGTGACTTATCGATCGGATCAAGGGTTCAGAATCTCGATAGTCTATTCTGGTCCGTTGTCCCCAACTCTGCTAACTCGATCAAGAAGTCTGGGTAAGGTGTAGAAAGTGTATTCTACAGACAAACAGCAGATAACAAGTCAGGCAGGCAGATCAGATCAAGCATACAAGTCAAGCGTATTTATACAAATATTTACAATCGATATTGTCATGGAAGATTTTTGAACATTAATCAACAATTGACTGCTATTTGAACATTTAATCGATAGTTCATCAATTGACCTATTTGTACATTTAATCGATAGTTCATCAATTGACCTATCTGCACATTTAATCGATAAGTAAATTACAAAATTTGAGTTTTGGGGATCTATCGTCCCCAACACTCCTCCCCTTTTTAGAAGATCCGGAGTTGATATCCGGATTTTAAGTTTTCCAGGTCCATCCTCCCCCACGAAACAGTGTTGGATCCTCATATGCCCACGTTATAATTAACTTGAATTTATTTAAGACATATTTATCGCACTGAACAGAGAATTGACTGAAAGTGACTAAGTCTTGAGGCTGAACGACACTTGATGTGAGGTTTTCGAAGTTTAATTCTTCTGAAATATTGTGACCAAATTTATTTGGAATCTTATTTGTAGATAATCGATCATCAAGGTAATTAGCATCTATCAAATTTTTATTAAGTTTTTGATCATCATTTGATGCATCTGACATATTTCCTGGTAAAAGAGAATCTCCATAATAAGATTTGTCAAAAACATCTGTCGCAGACTGGTGAGAACCATTTGAAGCAGTTGTATTCAGTGTACTGCTCGATTTGTTTTCTGTTTCATGGGTGGTTATTGCGACAATTCTATGAGCATTTACCAGGGAGTGTGTTTGTGAGCTGGATAAGTCACCGTCTGCACATGCTGTTTTGGGGATAATGGAGTTTGAGTCCATTACCGGGCATGTTTCTGGAATGGAGAGGACTGGACCACTGGGCGAATCTTGAGTGACTGTTGTGCCGTTTGAAATACGGTTTATCGGGGATTCATTGGGGCTGCAAATATTTTCCAGCTCTGTGTGCAATTGAGAGATCAATCCATCCACTTCCGTTGCATCTCCAAAGCATGAGTGATTTAACAGCTCCGTGCGTAATTTGACTAAAAACTCCAACTGTCTTTCAAATAGCAGCTGTACTCGATCGGAAGGGAGAGTCATTTTTTTTATTCAGCACAGGTAATGAAAATTACTGTTTGATTAATGACCAATGTTGCTGAAGGACACTGATGACAAATCTGGATGCTGAAGGCTGACTTTGGATTGTTCTTTTTTTACCCCGTCGCCAATTGTTATGTTTCGTTATTGCTTGAATGCGATTACTGATGCGTCTTACTCGAACGAACGAAGGATCAATGATTCAGCGACTCGATACACTATTCTGGTCCGTTGTCCCCAACTCTGCTAACTCGATCAAGAAGTCTGGGTAAGGTGTAGAAAGTGTATTCTACAGACAAACAGCAGATAACAAGTCAGGCAGGCAGATCAGATCAAGCATACAAGTCAAGCGTATTTATACAAATATTTACAATCGATATTGTCATGGAAGATTTTTGAACATTAATCAACAATTGACTGCTATTTGAACATTTAATCGATAGTTCATCAATTGACCTATTTGTACATTTAATCGATAGTTCATCAATTGACCTATCTGCACATTTAATCGATAAGTAAATTACAAAATTTGAGTTTTGGGGATCTATCGTCCCCAACAATCTTCTATTCTTAACGGCCATATTTCACACCCATTAACTAGAACGAAGTGAACCGCTGAGCAGGAAACTTGTCCTTTGGCAAACGGATATCCCGCCTATGCCATAAGTGACGTATAATTTATTTATGTATTTATTATTTAGACACAAATATTGGTACAAAAGGTCACCGAATACATATGCGCCACACAAGTCACTTGATTTATGTGTGGGCTGTGATACTGCCCGGGTGCCCAAACCGAAGCAGGATACCAAGTGCTAATCGAGTTTCCTGAATCCGAGCCGAAATTTCCTCAAATACCTGCTTATCAGCACTGATGAAACTTTCAAGATAAGTGAGGCGGTCGAGCGCTAAACTACTTCACTCTCTATTATTGATTCAGTAGCTAACGCAGACTAGTCCAATCGGGTAACCGAAATAAAAATAAAGTTGAGGGTCTACTATTATTGAGAACCCAGAACTATATAGCGACAGAATAGCTTAGTGATAACTGTTTATGTTGAAGTTTAAAAAATAGAGTGTGCCATTCTTCGATAACGTAGGTCAAACGCTACCACCACATGCTAACGTTACACTATTGTGGATGAAAAAAAATTACACTTACATTTAACTCATTAAATAGGTGTGTTTCTTGTTCAAGTAGTGGGATATATTGGACATCATATACTTTTTTAAATAAAACGACATACACAGAAACAGGTGGACAGTATTTGTTATTTGAAGCTGTAATAAAGTCGCGTAATCGAAAAACAATATTTTGATTTGATCTACAAAGTGTTTAGCAGGCAACATTGTGAAATACTGTTTCAATTTTGAATATGTCTAGAAAACCGAATCCTTAGCTAAACTGACAACTTACTGAGGAGCACTAGCGAACGCTCAAACTTCTTCAAATAGCTGGTCAATTCCCGACCGACCGTTGTTGCTACCTGAACGTGGTGGCTGGGCTTGCCCGCTGTGACGAACCAATCGGGCTATACTGACTGAAACAATCGTTCCTCAAGGTCCTACCATACCGGGCAGGCCGGTTGAAGAATGGTAAGACAAAAAGCAGCAAATTCAAGGTTGGAGGGTGAAGTCGTACTGCTGACTGTACAGAAGTGACAGCAGTAAGGTGTTTCCTTCTGACAACCAGCATAACAGGGTGGGGTTAGAAAAGGCATGCCCTAAAAACACACCTCACCTTATCCCACGGATATCCATCTCCGACGGTAAGGTCTCAACAAGTACGGAGGTAACACAAAAACTACCTACAAAAAGGTCGTGTGTGACTGGCCTCAAGTAGTTGTCCCATGGGCACTGCGGTCACGCTCTCAGGTCACTAAGACCAACTCTAACCCAATTTTCTTTTCAGTTAAATCCGAAAGAACCCTTCCACAGTGTGGGTAATCGGGAAGTGATAACCACCCCCATACCTATAAAATCACCCAAGACCACTGTATTCATGATCATACTAAAGTTGGTCAATTGTTGGAAGCATAAAATGCTCCTGAACGCTTTTCATATTTTACAGCTCCTGGAAAACTCTTTTAACTGCCCTAGTCACCATCCCGTAGTCCCTAACTCCTTCAGTTATGACTGTTAAAATCCCCTTATGATTGACGAGAAGAATGACAACCACCGTTAAATGTCCAATAATAAAATGGTTGGGAATCACTTAAAATAAACCATACCATTGTTCGACAAAGCTAACCATTTAAAACATTTGGAGTTTATACGCTGAAATGGTATATGAATCTCCTTAATTTTTGGTCATTATTAACTAACTTATTCTACTTGCAACATTCCCCGTTCGAGAAACAAATACAAAAATCAGACAAGTAATCCCAAGAACATCAAAAAACTGAGATTGAACTGAAACATTATCAGTATACTCAGTATAAATCAGAGCTACACTTGAAATTTTGTCATGGTCGTAGATTTCGAACCACCGTCATCTACCTGAGTACTACTATTATCACAGTAGTTGTTTGTAACCACTTATGCTGCCTTCTACGCAATTGGAGGTATCCAAGTTACTCTTGGAAACACAAGAAACAAAACGACAGTAAAAAACCAAACTACTTACCAACTTAGCGAGAGTATCCTCATCGAGCTTCCTCGATTCAGGTGGCATTTTTAATTTTTTAGAAAGCTATCTGATTGAATATTTAAACTGAATCGCCAATATTTTCTGAAATGAGAGAAACAAGAAAATCAAGATGTTTTATGACTAGCAAAATTAATTGAAACTGACATTGTTCAATATTAAAATCTTGCATCACCAACGTGAACCGTGACTCGAAAAAATATCAAATGCATTGTCAGAAGTACAGAGTTATGTGATGCCAATGTGCAATACAGTATACCTTATAACCGGCTTACGTCAAGAACATGTGAGAATCCTTAAATGAAAGCCAATGGATAGCAACCACCTATACTATCTACACAAAATAAAAAATAAAAATTCCGACTTTCTGAGATATCAGTTTCCGCGGACCATGACTCAGATCTACACCCCCCAAATGCCCTGGCACGGCCGAGAGTGGGGACAGTCCGCTCTCCCTCTCGAAATGCTCTCACATGGCCACGCGTATATAGCCTCTACCAGGGAAGTCTTACTCACTGCCTTCTCGTGGCGGGGGTGTTATTTACAAAAATGAGAGGACGGAAAGCGAATGTCCGGCGCTTTAACCGGATCCCAAACTGATGGTGCACATGGGATCCAGTATCCTGAGGGAACAAATGGCGTATGAACCAATCGCTGGTCACCGGCTACCATGGGACTGAATCTCCTTACGATGCTCCACTGTCTTGTGGATCAGACCTTTAGGTCAAAGGCTCAGGGAGTGGCCCCCTAAGAAAACCACCTGCTTCGGTTTGGGCACCCGGGCAGTATCACAGCCCTCACACATATCGAATAAGATGTGTGTGGCGCATATGTATTTGATGCCTTCTTGTACCAATATCTATGTGTTAAAATAATAATAAATAATACAGGCGGGGGAGTGGACATAGCTGCCGACCAAAACACTTATTTTTCAAAATCATATCCTAGGTGGATCAGATGCAAAATGATGGACACTAAAGTTCCTAGGGTAAAGTTGCATTACTAGCTGAGTTGATATTAGATGCTTATTAGTCAAATAACTGCTCCAAAAATGCTTTTTTTACAGAAGAGATTTATACAATATTACCTGTAAAAGGTTCACTAGTCTTACTTCACATATTTTCGGCACTAGTTGTCAAGTTTACAGCGGAAACGAAGCAGCTAAACAGACTGTCCAAGTGTTTTTTCTCCTTATGACTCAAGAAGAAGTTTATTATAAGCCGAAATATTATGTTAACATCAATTAGGTCAGATAATGTAGTGATCATTCGAGGACAACCAGGACTAATAACCGACGTCAGAGAAAGTGGATTAGCTAGGATTAGACATTATGTGAACCCTTCAGATTTCTTTTCTGAACCCTTCCTATCTAGTGATATAAGCATATTTATGTGCTCAGTCGTTAGTCATGACCACACGTGGATATCTGGTAGTGACATCGTTTATAAGTGCATTCCTATATGGGAGGCTAATTACGAAGAGATGATTCCATTACTTCAAATATTTTGGGTAGTGAAACTTTAAATTTGTGGCAATACATTGATGCTTTTTATTTAAATCTACTATCCTTACATTTTTGTCAGCACCAAACTAAGAAATTTGCTGTCACTGAGTATGTGCGGAAGAAGCGATCTCGTGCAGCAGCCAGTACATGGATTCCGAATTCCCATCAATGTATGTATCATGAATACACAAATAACACTGGCATACTAAATGAGGTCAGTGTAACGGACGAGAACGTCGCGAAAACTAAGTTTTGCACTATACCGATGGGCTGCAACGGGTTATTAAATTTACGGTAGACGAGTTCGATGATACTAAGGTGTTTTCATTGAGCGGTATCGTTGATGCAAGCACACCGGAAAACATGGGTGAAAACACAGTAACAACAATGTAATTAAACCTGTACACAATTAGTAGAGACACTGAGACACAAAGATAACTAATCGAACCAATCTGTTGACTTAGATGTAAATGAAGTCAGAACAAAGCTGGGTGCATAATATGAATTCATTATATTCCAGGGTTTCTCATCAACTGCTTACAACCAAATGTATTAAAATTTTTGTGACGGGTGATGAGATATTAAACGAGACCATGAATTTATCGGAAGTATTTAGACTATCAGACTTTTTTGCAAATTCAAAACTATCCTTTAGACTGTAGAGTGCTAGATTCTTACGGGTTGGTTCTAAGCATCCTGTTAGCCGGTAGGCCAGTTTATAGAAAGGTGATCCAAAAACCTTTGATTTTATAAGAGCACATGACGTAATGATTCACCTTCATCCATTTTTCTAAAAGTGCCCTGATATAGGAATTCACATGTTCGCCGCTGAGTGAAAAAGACCCTGAACAATTTCTAGACAACACAAGTTTTTATACATGATATAAGGAACAAAGTGAATAAACGTCACCAAACGAGAAAGGATGATGTAAGTGATAACTTCAACTTAGAGCTTTCATCGTTTCTAAGAAAAATGAGGTATTTTTGCAATATTAAACTTCGCCTCATTTTATAATCAATGATTGAAGAGTAAACCCCTCAATAACTGTATTTCGAACATTTCAAAACAGTCTACGATAACTAGGACAGCGACTGAAGGGGTACTGTTTAATGAAACGCCGAACTTAGTGCCTACTTTGAATTTTTTATAAACCAATTCCGTAATGTACGTCTCCCTTATCACTGTCGTCTGCTACACCGGCACTTTATAAACTGATACGTTCTATTTCTTTTTCAGATGTCAAATGATGACAATAGGACTTGCCAGTTAGTAAGAGGATGTATCGCTGCCATAGGAATTTTGATGTCCATGTTATTTCTGTTGAATACTGATGATCAATATAAATTTAATAATATGCGTTAATTAGCATTCTCACCAACGACCACTTTTGTGGGAAAGGCGTAATCCCGAGGAATATATATACCGTTGGCGCAGGCGTTTGAGTGAAGCCGGGAGGAAAGTAGACGATTTGGTGTAGATTTGTGCAAAAAATAGGCGATTCGGCTACAATCAAGGTATGAATTTATATGTTTCGCCCCGAGACATTTAGGAACATGTCTCATTATTTCTCCATAGTCGGAGAAAAAGGAGACTTAGTTGCAATGCCGCTTGGATTAACACTGAATCGCCATAGCCGATGTCTTCCCAGAGTTCGCTTTAATTCCCCGTTCTTGATTAGTTGGGAAAATCCTTAAGGAGCAGATATTGTTTTCCCATTGAGAACGCATGAGGAGTTGCGTTCATTAGAAGCTGCTTTAGATGAGCAGAAGTTCAGGGATGATTTCGTAAGTTCTAACGGTTGTGTTTGAAAAAACTTAAGGTGGGACGACTGCACGGCCTACTATGTGAGGATCCACGAAAATCAGCAAAAGCCTGTTTACGTTACTTGCTGTCGCCGGAATTGGCGAACACATACACTCTACACGGAACGAAAACTAAACTGGGTATTAGTAACTACAAATTTTACCGGACGGTTAAAAGTAAGTCCACACTACTATACTAACATATTTGTAGGTGTTCTGTGTTCCCAATTTCGAAGTGCGACTTGCCCCGAAAAAGAAGTTATACACGCCAAGGATGTAGCAAGCCAGGCTTTCTTGCATGACGCAAGAGACAAAATAATAAAGCGTGGATGACGATCCAAAGAAAGGGTAAGCTAAAACCACTTAACATGTTTGTTATAATACATATTACACTTTGAATATAACTTTGTGATTAATATTTACACTGAAACAACTTTTCTATTGTCCGTCTTGCCTTCAGCTGGCTTCACCCGTTTGGTCAGACGCAACTGTAAGTTCTTCGTTCACATAACTAAGAACATTGTCATACCGTTTTCTCCTTATCGACGTTTCCCACATCTTGACATTTCATTATGCACAAAAATTTTTTTCTTTTAGAACATTGTTGTTGACATTAATGTCAAGGTATCCTGTTCCTCTGACAAAGCAATGATCACATTATAATTGATTGATTTGTAAATTCATTGACTGTAATAAACATTTCTATGTATCACAAAGTTAAATTTCTGTGGCAATGCGTAAGGGACCTAAAATTAATGCTACATACCAGTAAGCAATGTATGTAGGTATTTTCCCAACGTTTTTCGTGATTTCTAGAGGTTTTGGTATAAGTTTTGTGTTCAAAAACGTTTCGTAGAAAAACCCCGTTTTGGGTAAATTTTGGGGGTTTTGTACCATTTCCCAAAGTTTACTATAGCGGCTTCCCTAAAATGTGCCCAATTTTTCACAAAATTGGCAGCTTGTGTGGTGTTCCAACAATGTAATGAACTTGGCTGCAATTGACGTTGGAGTAATTTCTCCTGAGATGTGGGTAATTTCTTAGCTCACTTAGCTTCTACCTAACAGCAAATGCCCAAAATAAAAGGTATCGATCCATACAATTAATATTGTTACATCAAAAACCGTTCTTACCTTACCAAAACTCTATAATAATGAAAAATCGAAAAGTGCGCCGGATAAAACTACAAATTGAAAGGTGTATACAGAGTATTACTAGTTACTCCTGATGTATATAAACAATGAAAAGGTTTACAATTTAGAATCACAGATTTGTCTGTTGATGCATGCAGAAGCTCCACTAGAAAACTTTGATTTTGCGTGATACGTTGTTTTTAATGTGCAACGTTGTTTAAAGATATCAATGATACCTTATGGGTTTGCAGGAGTTACGTCCAGAGATTGCATGAGCATCTAATAAACTGTTTTAGATTTTAGATTGATGGGTATTGAAAAGTGTTTACAAATTCTTCCCTATGCGTGAAATATTCGTAATTTACCAAAATATTAATATTTGATATATGCATTTAATAAGCATGATAAATTTTTAAGTCGCTTGTCATAAGGCTCATTAGTAAGCTACGTGGAGTTAAAAAAAACATGACCATGAACCTACTTAGTTCACAACGTAAGTTATTTTGTTTTGTGCCAAAGGTTTTGGTTAGTGTTTGTGAGTCTGCCTAAGACCTGAAAAAGCCTAGGATATACAAAGATCTCTAAAAATATAAATGATGGGGATTTAGCGACAGAACAAAGGCTTTGATTCACGATTTAAGGTTTTTAAAATCAACATAGCTAAGGGCTCCATGCATTGACTATATGATTCTAAAACTTTTGGCAGCTATCATATAGCAGTGTGCATTAGTTTGTAAGACTTGGCTAAGTATAACTCCTATGTCATTGTGCATCTGGACAACAGGTAGATCAAGGTTATTCACTATGTATGTATCTTTACCTCAGTGGCCAATATGCATCATAATGCACTTGAAAGTATTATCGGCAACTACCAAATTCCAAACCATTCAGATAATTTCTCCGGGTCATTTTGGAGTTACAAACTATCACCTTTACTTTTTCTCGCTCTCCATTTCTTGGCATTGTCAGCATATAATTGGACCGATGATGAAAGGGGACTAGGAAGGTCATTTACATACAGGAGAACGGCACTGACCCAAAGCTGCACCCTGGGGCACTCCAAAAAGAACAGTTTCCCAGCTAGAGTATTCCAAGTTCACCATGCAACTTGTTGACGCTCAACTAGGAAGTCATTCATCCACATAAGTTAATTGCCTCCAATCCCAATATCACTTAACCTAGTTAACGACCAGTTGTGAGGAACTTTGTCAAAAGCCATACTAAGGTCAATGTAGGCTGCACACACAGATGATTTTTAATCTTTAAGAGCGCACCAACTTTCACGGGCTATTAATATGTTTGTAAGGCATAAATAACTTGTTCTAAAGACATTCTTTCAGTCTTTTATTAATCTGTCCTAGGTTACAGATAACTTGAAACATATATTTAAAGGATTCGTAAAAAAGTTCGTCAACTACTTTAGCAATCTATAATGCATTACATTGGGCCCCATGGATTCGCTTATGAAAAGCTCATTTATCAGACCAAAGACATCGAATTCTTTGGTGGTCGCAGTGTCCGGATTATGTATTGGGGTTGTATAAACTGAAGGGGGTAGCATCTCAATGATATACACATGGCTAAAGTAGTCAGAGAATACCCAAGCCCTACCGTAATCGTCCTCCACTTATGATGCATTACTACTGTCTCATCACTATTCCGGAATAATTCCTCCTCTCTTGGTCCGTTTGTTTATGTACGACTGTGAGCGTTCAGAATGTTCTATAAACTCCTCAACTGGTTTTCCTCCGTACAAACTTCCAGAACTGCTAAGGTCGAGATACATATATTTCAGTCTTCATGATACAGTGATTTCGTTTCGTCAGTACCCAGAGACCTAAATCATTCTCATATTCTTCTCCTTTAAAAGAAAAAGGGTGATAACCTCCTCACTAAACTACAGTGAAGAGTTTCTCGGAATCTTTGTTGCAGTTCAAGGGATGTTGGGTGCAGTAACGTTTGTGTACAAATTCCTGATTACAGCACAACCCGTTTAAATGGGGTGAGGGTTCTGGTATTATTGTCCAATATGTTGAGGATGCTGAGTGTATAATTCCTTGCATGCATGTTCTCAAGACGTTTGGCCTGGCTCGGGTTGGCATATCGCTGTTAACCACAATATGGAAGTAGAAAACTAAAACTTCATGGTTACTTTTACCGGAGGGGTGTCATATGATGGAGGTCTATGGCGTAATTATGAGATCTAGTAAGGATGATTCAGAGTCTGGGTTGTACATAGTTGATTACCTCATACGTTGCACCAGGGCATGTATGGTAGCCATGTCAACTAGTTTTTATTCGAAAGAACTTTCTGGCAACTTAGTCATCAGACACTTCCAGTCTACCGTAGTTATGTAGTGGTGTTGATTTCTAACAACACGATCTTTGAACCTGAATATATAATTACTGAGAAGATTCGCTTTCAAAATGTAACACCAACAGGAGATCAGGAATAGTGAACGCAGGAACATTCATTCAATCGGATGGCATGGCTCAGCATCGCAGATGTGGTCATTACTGACATTAAATATATTGTTCTATCTATAGCCCAAATGTGTTCTTCAAAAGTGCTAGACGTTATATTCCTGATTCTTACGATACGATGAGTCACGGTAGACAAAAATGAGACTGCCACATAGGATCTCACAGATTAGGTAGTCACATCATGACAAATCTACAATTTTAGGTTTAGGCCTATAATTATAGCAGTACAAATAACGAACCTCGACCATAATTCTACAGGTTCACGGAAGTCTCCTAAGGTTAAACACAGACCACGTAATGACCAAGTATTGAAATCGTGTAGCATAACCTCATTCAACTCACAATTTGGACTGTGGTAGGCCAAAGCATTCAGCATAACCTGGCCCTTACATTGTAAGCCTCAACTAACTAACTCGCACGTCCCACGTTCATGGTATATGTTATCGATGACAGTAAAGGGGATAGTATTTCTGACGGATAGAACTGAGAAGAACGAAGATTTGACTAAGATAAACCAAGTGATTGTGCGAAATTACACAGAGCACTTGTTAAACGCGTAAAATATCCATTGAGCGCACTATTTACACATCTTTCGTGAAATATCTCTTACGAGCTCCGTCATTCATTATTACTGTTGCAACTCTGACTGCTGTTGTTTTGTTTTCTCTTCTTTGTTTTCCATCAGTAAGAAATTTTATTCCAATCATTGATACATACTCCTTATATCTGTCTGTATAAGTATCATAAACTACCGACCTATTCTTCCTCTTGAGCTTCTGGATTCGTTCGGCTTTTACATTTGTGAAATTTTCAAAATCAAGTTCATTGTTGTATAAAGAGTGCATCAATCAAGTTTCCGCGACTGCGATTATACCCGGCTTAGTAGAGTATTTCTGTACACCTAGCTTCGATCGCCTGTCGAGAGCTCTCTGAGCATTTATGTAGCAAATCCGAACATTATTTAAACGGCTTTCATGCTGTGCCCAACGTGGTTTCGGTATCATTCACTATCGAATCCTCATCACAACAATCAATTCTACTACTGCTGAGAAACTCAAAGACCCATAGAGAAGTTGAAATCAGGTTTTTCAGTGCAGAGTTTTCATACTGTTCTCAAAAGAAACAACAATGAAATTACTTGAATAAAAGTTCATTCGTCTAAATATGGAACGTTTGCAGTCTGCCGATGTTATGTACAATCGAGAATTGAATTCTCGCTGTCTACGAAAGGTTTGCTAAAAAAGAATGATAAAACTATCATTTATACTTAAGCTAGTCATAGCAACCGAAAATTGTACAGGGACATAAGTGAGTTCGTTCCAATTATCCGTTGTTAATTCTATTACTAATGAGTGCATTTTAGATCTTATAGAGTTCATACCCAGTACATGACTTGACAGACATATGATGAACCTACTGAAGAGACAAATAATAGACTACAGAAATCCGGATTCTTATTTAAGCTTTGGCGGTAGTAGTGCCTGTACTAACTGATGATTTCTTAGTACTTGATTAGGCGCTTATTATGAATTCCAAGTATGATGCTTACAGTTGTGCCCATCTAATCTTGAGTATCTTAAAGTGCATTGTTTTTAGAATTCTCAGTCAACAAATCAATTCAAATACTTCTAACCGTTATAACGGAACGGCACAAGACAGATCATAGTTTTCTTATGTTGTCTTCCTGTTATCTTAGTTACCTTAAACTCAATAATCGATGACGATAGGTTAAGCAAAAGTTTTGGTACAAATGTCCATGGATGCATACCTAAGTAATTGAACTAGGTGGCATATACATTAGCTCTGAATAGAATCAGAGTATAACAGAACTGAATGGATACAAAAGGACCGAAGTAATGGTAGTATTAGATAAACATAAAAATTGAATGTTTTGCGTTTGGACTGGATTTTTGCTAACATAGGAACTACAGTTGTCAAAAGTTGGTTTATAATAGAAATACGCCTGGTAGAATGTTCAGAATCTATATCATAATAGAATAAATCAAGGATTGAATTAAACTAGTCTAAACAGGATTTTGTTAGAATGAGTCCAAACTCCTTGGAGTGTCAGTTTATCAATGTGTTTTAAATGTTTATGAACCGGTATGCCAATGAAACGGCAGATAGGCAGAGATCTAGAAAAAAAAGGTTGTTGGAAGGATTCATATTTGAGGCATTCGAGCCAATCATACGACTAAAAACAAGCTAACCAATAGCATTGATTTACGCCATTTAACAGTCACATTCTGTCCAATCAGGGATTCTAAATTGACTATTCATTCATGTGCATCTAACATTCCTGTATCCTTCGTTAGCTCAGCGCCTATTCTTCCTCTAATACGATCATCCCTTATCCTCCTGAAACAGAAAGAGCGTATATGTAAATATCTTTAATAACAACGATCTCAATGTTATCACAACTTATCCATTTGTAATTAATATTTTCGGGTTGTATCGAATATAAATTCGAAGTCGATAATAACTTATTGACCATGTGAATGCATTTTACTTGCATATTTCATATGCACAGAGATACGCTTTTTTTGTACAGATAAAGTTGAGGGATTTGTACATCTTCATTCTCATATATTTCCTGTAAAATGTTTGTCCATGTGCGCAAAGTAGAATAGTATATTTGATCACACTAGGTAGCTCACTTGCATTAGAAACAAATATCTATTTACCTTGTTATCTGTATATCGACAACTACGAAGAGAAATATTCAAACATTTTCGTCCAGTCACTATAAATCACTTGACTTCTTGACACCAGATTCTAGATACTAGGTAGAGGTTATACAACATGCTTTATATGTCAGTCTGTTTCTATGGCTTTAAGATGGTATTAAGGTATTTGTTGAGGCCACTAGTAATGAGCAGTAGAGGGGTTTTGAGTAGTCGACCTTTAGCTTATTAATCATAAATGCCTGAGTACAACTTTCCTATTGGATTCGGACAAACTAAGTTGTAAAATGACAGCGTTAGAGGAAAGATGAGTTTCACATGATGGACTTGATTTAAAAATTCAAATGAAAGAACAAAGTAGCAGGAGTAGTGAACTTGGTCTGGAATGGCTCCAAATACTCTACTAGTTTTTTAAGAAAACACCCAATACGGGTCACTCATTTAACGCCTATGCTGCATTCGAGTAAAAGTATTAAAAGAAGTCATTAACTTTTACTTCATTCAGTAGGAGCAGCTATTCGTCTTTCCAACCTCAATTCGTTTGTTTTTCCTTAAGTCTATTACTCCTTATGAGACTTAAGCAAACGACCAGCGATCCTACAGCGTCTCCTTTCCAGGTGTTCTCAAATTATGTTTATTCTTTTTTTACCTACCTTAGATTCCCGGAGCTATTCCCAGGTATTCAGTATCTATTCGTCATCTCAACATCAGTTTGCTTGTACGAAAAGAACTCGCGGTTCACCCGGTATTTTCATGGTGATTTGCTGACTGATACCATTTCCTTATTTTTTCTTTCTTTCTTTTGTCATTTTAGAAAAATATTTAAAAGTTGATGTTTGATAGACCCCATATTTATCTAGACACGATACAATTTTCATTGTTCATATTTCCACTCTTACTTGATGGTTATTGGAACGAAATGTCATTTTGAAATCAGTCAGTAGACTCCTTATCAGTTTACTAATCCAAATGCTTCTGTCTTTTCACAGCATTTTCAACTACTATTATCATGATTAATATCACAATCACCATAAACACGATCACTGCACCATTATTTTCTGGTAATTAGTATCAGTTTTATTATCCTGTTTACAGTTTTCATAACAAGCTACACATATTCTTTATCCACAATAACGTCGTTGTCTCTCTGTTAATTCATTCATCAATAAATCGTACTTGCATGAATATGAAAAGTATTATTAACCAGTCTTCACAAGTGAATTAAATGACTTTATACACGTTATACACGAAATCTCATTTGAAAATATCTTATTTATTCATATATAAGAATCTGTGTGTGTGCAAGATTTAGGGCACACGAAGTAGAGTGAATTTACCTTGTCTCAGAATGTTTATTGTCCCTGCTTTCAAAAACCTAGGTTTGGTTGAAGGCTTTCATCGTAGGCAATATAACTGACGACCAACATTTGCAATTCATTTAAACACAATCGCCGCCAGTTGCTGAGACAATATGAAACTAATAGTCCTATAGGACCAAAAGTTTATTAATAGCTGTCACTAACAAAACTACTTGGACAGAATAAAAATCGTTTTCAGAAATATTTTCAACGCTACAACCTCATAGACAGTTATTATTATATCCCGACTCTGTGAGATCATAGGATCTATGTTGTCAAAGCCTAGTGACTTAACAAATACTACTTTAGACTGTTGTTCTAAAACATTAAATTACTTCATAAGATGGTCAGTCAACTCTGGAAACGTCAAATACTAAAGAGTATTTACCACTATTTATCGTGATGAAACAAACACTCGGACAGACTACAACAGTGTGTTAGCTAATAACCAGCATAAAATAACTGTTAACAAATATTTTAGAGGATCAAGTTATTAGACATTATCTCCAACAACTCTAATGTTACAAAGTCTAGATAATAACTGGGAGTAATTAAAACATACCGTTAGTTTGTGTTGTACCCCGAATGACTTTTAATCCAACAACAAACAATCAGTGAAATTTTGATATACCCAAACAATGACTGGTAGTATCAGTACGTCAACTCTACTGGCATTACATATTTCATCGGATCCTAACACCTACAGTGATCAATGATGGGAATCTAATTGTATTGATCAATGCACTAACTGGTTTAGCTTCATGACACAGTATCCGGCGAATTTTTTAGAGACTTCAAAAGTGGTAGGAAGCTTCATTGAACTCTCCAACAACAGCAGTTCTTAGGTTAGGGACACACTATGACATGCAATTAAACATAGGCTATTCACGTTCAACTCAGTTCGTTAGCGATGTCTGTATAGTTGTACTTCTTCGGAATTAGTTAACAACCGTTTTAGACTGTCCACTTAGACTGTAACGTGAGTTCGTTACTCTACTTTAACCTTATTCTTTGTCATTATGGGGATATTACTTCAAATGATTTTGAGAATGATGCTTTACTAGATTTTTCAGGAAAAAGATAGTTAGAGATCCCGCTTAGGTTATTAGTTTATCTTTGATGGAGGTAGTGGAGGTTTTTGTTTCGTAACCTTTTAATTTTTTTATGTATTTCAAAGCACACTAATCGTTTAATAAAATGATATATTCTCGATGACGTGAACACTTATTCATAGAAAACTCATTATAATGTAATTTTTATACAACAAAACTCCTTTTGCGTGTTTCTGAACTTTATAGAATGATAAATGTCGTTGTTTCTGTAGCTTACCATGTAGAATAAGAGTCTCATAAATGAAAAGATAAGAGAGTGTATGTAATTAGTTGGTTATTTTTCTACTGAATTACATTAATAACTACATTTCATTTGAGTTTTACAGGTGTACCGATCATCTTTCATCTGAGATGTTTCAAAGCCTTTTTAACTTATTGAACATTTTTAATATCAGCACCTTCTCATCCTATTTTATTAGATATTTTCGACGAAACTGAAGTGTTTATAAATATTACTAGTAATTACTATTTACCAAACCACACTACTATTAGATGGTATTCAAGCGTATTTTATGAAAGAAGCTATTTTGTTAACTATTTTATTTTACTAACATAACTGTTCATTGTTACTAGATAATTACTCCATAAAATGTATTCCATGATAGACTAGCTTCAACTGACTCATGATCTCAACTATAAAATTACTATAATATCCACAACCCCCCTTCTGATATTAGGCAGTATATGTTCACTGGTGATTGGCTTCGAGAGGTATTTCCTAGAGTTCTAGTGAGAAGCCGTGACCAGTGGAGTTCAACCGGATCTGTTGTGATATAGTAATTCACCTAACAACAGTGGTGAACGTGTCGCTCGATTTCGTGGATGAGTTGAAGTTAGACATTAACACCTTCGGATCCCGGCTCAGTGGTCTAGAGAAGAAGTGTTCGCGTGCGAGACTGATAAGTCCTAGGTTCGATATCTCATGAGGCGGGGTCGTGGATGTTCACTTCTGAGGAGCCATACACTAAGATGAAACGGCCATCCATTGCTTCCAGATTTTCCATGGTAGTCTAGCTTCAACTGACTCATGATCTCAACTATTAACACATATATATATCATGAATTTGTTACTTTTTGAGCCCATCTAATTTCAAATATCCTAAATAAAATATAAATTCCATTAATACACCAACAACTAACAGTTGATATTCATTCTCATTTTGTTCATTTAAGAATATCTCAATCAATATAAAACTATACTATAATAAAATACATTCAATGTTAATGAATTTAGATTGTACTCAATAATCTTAGATTTCATACCATATTCATTTCTACAGCAACAACAACAACAACAACAATAAAAATCAATCTATTTGCGATGGATATAAAATTTTAGGATCAAAAAGTAAACCCTTTTTTATTGTAAAGTCAACATTGAGCTTTAGTAATTTGAGAATCTTATTTATTTTATAAATATATCTTTAATACTGAAATTATGTTTATTCTCTTCATTCAGTTCTAATATCAATATTTACATACCTTTTTTGTGCACATTGTACAGCTGATCAATTATATTTTTATCCTCAGATTTAAACAAAAAGATAAATAGGATCATTTATTGCATATAGGATTAGTAATAAGAAGGAATATGTTTATTTTCTAAGATATAATTACATTGATTTATTTACTTAAGAAGACCCTCTTTAAATGTCGAATGGATACAAACATATATATATATATAATTGTTTCTGGAAGAATATTTTATTACTGAATAAGTATTACTTTGTATCATTTACAAATTTCAACAATGAACTTCACACATCTTTTATTGATTTGTCTTATTTCATTTATGTTCTTTACATATGTTCAATGTGACTGTAAGTAAATTATATTCATATTACTTATGTATAGTGATTATTTTAATTTCCTGGGGTTCTTTGTATAAGTTAAAATGACTTAATCATCTAACTTTATATTAATTAATTGTATTAATCTAAAGAAAAAAAAAACATTTTCATTTCACATTAAACAATGATTTCATTGTTACAAATCATATGATATGAATAAACAAAAGAATTCATTATAGTTTGATGATAATTTCATTTTATAGATTGGTTAAAATTAGACACTAACACTGTTGGATACCGGCTTAGTAGTCTAGAAGTTAAGCATTCGCTTGCGAGATCGATAAGTCCTTGGGTGAACATTGCTAAGTAGTACCATACTAGAACAAAATGACCGTTTATTGATTTCAGGTTTACAATGATGATCATCTAGCTTTATTCGACTCATGAAATCAACTCTTTTTAATTTGTTAGTATAAAAGTTTCTGAATGAAATTCGTGTGGTATAGTTTATGAGAATAAACATAATAAATTTAATAAATGAAACATTTAATTGTGAATAAAATACATAATCTATAAGATTATTATTAAACAATATTTCTAAGGTCAAAACTAATCTATCAAAGGTATAGTACTTACATCTCATATGGATCATCTAATTATTGATTATAGACTATCTAAGGTCAGATATATCTAAAAAGGATCAGCTTACAATGATCATCTTATCATGATTTTAACTTTCTTTTTTCACGTATATTTTCATCTTTAAATACCATGTAACCTTATTCTCCTTGAATAATTAAATTCAATAAGAAAATATTCAATTCGAACCGACGTGTTTCATTTCATTAAATTAAATATGATTCTCATTTGTAATGAATTAAATTGACATAGTATGGTAAACCACACTGTAATCTTGAATGAAAAAAATTTGTTTCCTTCATAAACTTCAACTAATTAAGAATAATAAGATTTGTAGAATAAAATGAATTCTATACATTTCAAGACTTCTCATCAGTTACAAATAATAACACAGTTATCATATTAATTTACTTAACGCGATCAAGATTGCTGTACAAAACGAAACATGAAATCAGAACATCAAAAAGACTAAAAGTATCAGTTAATAACTCACTGATGACAATGGTGGATGTGTCACTCAATTTCGTGGATTAGTTGAAGTTAGACATTAACACCGTTGGATGCAAGCTCAGTGGTCTAGTTCGTTAAGCGCCTGGTGCGAGACTGATAGGTCGTGGGTGCGCACCGCTGAGGAGTCCTACAATAGGACGAAACGGCTGTCCAGTGCTTCCAGGCTTTCCATGGTGGTCTAGCTTCAATTGACTCATCATCTTAACTATTGAAATGGCTAAAAGTATGATGAGATTGATGATCTCAGCTTCTTCTTTGTATAACTCCATTTTCAAAATGATTAACTAACAAGGAATCAAGTCTATACAATTTTTCCAAAAGCCATTACCAATTAGCGTTTTCAATCTGACCTATGTACATAGAAAGAAAGAGTGACAGACCTCTTATTATCATACGAAAATAATTACTGATCTAGTTTCACTGATTACATCATCTGTTGCTTTTAACTAACAATTGAATTTTATATCATATTTGAAGGCTTGATTACATAATAACTGATTTGTTTAAACAAAAAAAAGACGAAAGAAGCCCATTCATTTAATGAAAAAGTAAAGATCTTTCGGTGAAGGAAATTTCCTTTTTGACAATATCATTTTCTGAAGCTATATCATCATTCTTCTCAGTAATTTTTTACATGTACTAGTCATTGGTAAAATAGAAGAATTTTACAAAATTATCAAAGATAGTCAAACTTATTCAAATGGAAGTCAATCAAAATGAAATGATGTTGCATGATCTAAAACTAACTGATTAAATAAATAGATAAAAATTCTATTTTACTAAAAACTATTTACTACATGTAAAAGAAAAACCCGGCTCACACAACCTTGTCGTGACTCCTGGATAGTGGGACTTAATCCTTTGAACTAACGTTAGTGATAAACCGGGTGATAAAGTTAGAGCTAATCACTCACTCGACCAATACCCATAAATAATTACAAATGCTACAAAGAAAAATAGCACAACTGTTACTGGACCAAAAACGATTTAACCTAAGGCAAAAAATATCTGCAAAAACAGTTATTGAGCCCCGGTAGTTGTACCGTGCTTTGATGTAGCCACTTCTCCAGAAGGAGACATATAAATACAATTGTACAACTTCAGAAAATGATATTGTTTAAAAGAAAATTTCCATTGCTAAAATGTCTTTATAATTATTTGTTTATTCATTCCCTTTGATTCATAATTATCAGTATTAGTATTTATTTCATTAAACATTTATATAAACAATTATCAATCTTAACCACCATAACAAATATCATAATTTTCCTCCTTTTCCCATTTTTATGACTATCTGTCTTGCTTTAAACATTAAATTCAATTTTATTCATTAAAATAAATTAATCATACTACTATTTAAAACTTGAAGCTGTTTGTAGCTAAGGCTCATACTATTCACGTGTCATTTTAATAGTGTTTGTACATTTATTATATTTTTTCTAATCATCTTGGTAATTCATTTACTTTATTAACTGATATTAACATCAATCTGTGAATTCTCCATACTAGATACAGGCAAATGTTTAAATATTAAATCTTCATAAATAACAAGCTCTTTGTTGATATATTTCTTTTAAATCTCACATGTTATAAGACTGAGAATAAAACGAAATTTCAACTCTTCTTTCTTTTATTAAAATATAGATGATTCAAATACGGAAGAACCATGTAAACGAGTTCATACTTCATTAAAGACAAATTATCTTCATTAGTAATATAAAAACAGAAAATCAAAATGAGCAAAGAAGAATAGTGACTAGCAGTGGAATGTAGGACGCTCATTTCGTTCTATTTGTCACTCGTCAACTGGATGTACCTGAATCTCAGAGTTGATGTTCACTCTAAGAATTGAACCCAGTACCGTTCGCTTCAAATGCCATCGTATTCTCAAGTTTAGATAGCCACTTACTTGTACAAGGACGAAATAAGTGTCCTGGATTTCACCACTAGCCATTATTTTTCTTTGTATATAATGTTTGTCAATTCAAGCAGTATCAAGGCAATACGTATAGTATGTACATAACCAATAATCGACTTATCAGTTGCAAACCTAAACGTCAAGTAAACAATTCCAAGTGAAAATCATAATGTTTAGTAAATGATGAATTATTTTATCGGCTTGCCTTTTCCGTTTAAAACAATAAATCTTATTTCGTGACTAACAACTAGAAATAAAATCAAGAATGTTGATCACTTACAATTTTCTCGTTGAATCAAAATAGTAACGCTGAGCTTATTGTAAGTCTGTTTTCAGAAAGAAAATCCCATATAATTTAAATATTGAAAAATGTAATTTATATTAAATTCTAGTGGATGAAGATGAGTAAGTAGTTAATATTCACATGATATACTTAATCCATTCAATTCCCATCGCTTACAATACACCATATACATATCATTCTACATCATGCATAGATACATGTTCTCATCCAACAATTCTAACATTTCATCCAACAAATCTTCTGTGTATCATTCTTCTCTTTTCATCAAAATTATCATCTTTGTTTCAATAAAGCATCATTAACTAACCTCCATGCATAAGATTTGCTCTTTACTCTTTAAAACTAATTCAAGTATAATTTAGTTGATCATCCTATTGTGGGACTCCCCTGCAGTGCGCATCCACGATCTCGATCGTGGGATTCCAACCCAATAATACTAATACTAATAATTATAACTAAATTCAAGTATTATCAGTTCAAATATCTATTTCGATATTATCGACCATTTTAGTTAAAATTCAGATATCTGAATTCCAATTGAAATGGATTGTTTTACCCCATTGTTAATAATTTCAACTGAAATTTGATCAATCTTGATTGATATTTGAGGATCGTTTGTGAATTATCTCGATATAGTCATTGTGACACAAATTGTTATAGAATAGATGGAATGTGACCAGCAGTGGAATTGAGGACACACTTAAATGTTAATCTGGACATAGTAGCTAAGTGGATAATGCGATGGTGTTTGAAGTAGACAGTGTTGGGTTTGAGTGTTGGGGTGAACATCAAGTATTAGATATAGGTGTATCCACCTAATGAGTCCCGATTGAGACGTAACGCCCATCCTGGATTCTACATCTATTCACATTCCATCGGTTCTATATCAAATATACTGTTTAAAAGTTGAGAAACATAAAATGTCAGACAAAGACTGAATGAGAGAAAACTAAGAGGTTAGCATTAAATGGTACTTGATGAAAATAATGAATTTAGATTTATTTGAAAGAAAAACGTGTTGGTTATAAAACTGTGTGGTAATTTAAAGAAGAAAATGCTTTTCGAATGTTCTATAGTCAATAGCTGGATACAGATACGATGGACAAAATAAATATATCTGACTTGTGTGTCATAGTAAAAACAACATCAACAAACAACTTATTTCATTTTGGTGGAGTTTTATTCTCAGAGCTGGATGGTTTGTTCGTGAAGCTTTCATCGTTCTTCTGAAAGATATCATCAGCACAAACTTCAGGTTCCATATTTTGTTTATCGGATATTTAACATGTTAGTTTAAATACCTGCTTCGTTTATTTGCTTCATAAAATCTATTCCTTCAGTTGGATAGTTTGAGTTTTAACCCGGTTACATCTGATCACATAGTATATAGAATAGGGAACTATTTATATAGCTTCAAATAAATTTTCGTTCCTTTTTTAGGGAACCTGATGAAAAGTTAGTTACATGTCAAGATTAAATAACACAAGGTTTCTTTTTTAAAAATCCCATCAGTACCTACTGATTGATGTTGATGAAATCAACATTTATTCAGTTAGTAACATTAGGCTTCTTTACGGCTAACATGCTGATTCCATTTTAGAGATAAAAAATAAACTTTGAAAATAGAGATAAAAGTTTGTTTTGATAAAACAACAGAAGTTATACAAGTAAATCATTGAATGTCTGTTCAGTAGTCAAAATATTGAACTCTCTATGAGATCTGAAAGTCATGGGTTCGATATTCGTTTAGTTGGTGAATGTACACTGCTGAGAAGTATCATATTAGTACAACATAGTTATTTGAAGATCTATAGTTTTCAACAGTTGTCTAGCTAAGTTTAATCCATGAAATAAAGTGAAAAGAAACATACCTAAGAAAAAATATTAAGACTGAAGAAAGTTTTCAGTAATATACACTATTCTATTGTCGAACTAGTTATGTGTATTAGATTCTATTAAAATGCAATGACATTGTATGCATTCTTTAAAGTGTGCATGCTAACTTATTTTAAAAAAATCATGGCAATATAAAATGACGTAACTATCAAATAAACAGATTTCGTCTGTCAGTATATTGACATATTTTAATATTTAGAGTGTAATATCTAAAGTGTTGACAACCAGAATGGTTTATCTGAATAATGATAAAGTCTCATTAATAATGTAATGTACCATGTTCTACAGCTCATGTTCTACGGTCTCATTTAGTTGTAGTGAATCAAGCCTCTTTGATTGCTCAAGAGAACTAAAGAATGGAAGGTATAAAGTTCTTGAGTAGAAATACATATTTATATATGTTACTAGATTTGCATCCAGTATTTGGTACATGGTCATGTTCAACCAAAACCTTTTAAGACTGTTAGCTACAAATAGGGTTTCTGTATTTTCATATACCTGCAATTCAATTTTATAAATTTAAGATTACTATTTTGGCATTCGAATAAAATAATGCTAATTGAAATAGTCTAATAAAGTGTTGAGTATAATTTTTCTGACATTGTCTACTTTGAATTCCATCAATAGTGAAGAAGGGTCTGTTCAAAAATCATGTTAATTTATTGTCTTTTTTTAGTAGCGTAGATCAAATGATATTCAGCTCATTAAGAGGATTTGATGTTTTGCGATTGTTTCAAATAATTTTAAGCTTAATATCTCATTTAATGAATGGCAATCTAACATCTATGTTATGTATCTGTGTTTTTGTTAACTTCAAGATTTTGATTGACTAACACAATAGAAAGTAGTATTTACTTTACACACTAAAATTGTCCAAATCAAACATAAAAGATTTATAATTACTATTATTATTATTATAAAATAGTGAATCACTTGAATTTGTTACTGTTTATGTTATAACTAATGCTGTTGTGCAAACAACCGAATGAACACTTGTCTATGATGATATGATACTAAAAAGGAAAAGCAAAGAATTATTTGTAACTAATCGTCTATTACATATCAAGAAATCAACATAAATCACAATTCGGTACTATTTGATTACACGTGGTCGATAGAAATCTCTTCATATAGAATTATGGCTAGATGCCCATTACCAACGTGTATCAGTACTGTGAAAATAAATGTTCCTGTCTTTGAGTTTCCATTGAATACTTTTATTTTCGTAGGAAAGATAATACTCAATTATTCACCACTACATGGTCAGTTAGTCTAGGAGAAAGTTGCCAGCTAGAACTGTCACACGTTTCTTCACATACCTTATAGTAGTTATGAACAGACTGCAAGTTATACAGTGTGTTGAACATTTTTACCATTAGACTGAATCAATTTATTGACAGAATATTGGTATGAAACAATAATGTATTGTAACTGAAAAATTGTAAATCTTAATTTAATCAAAATTTCTTTATGTTTATTAATCATTCAATCTCATTAGAACACCAAAACCTGTGTAAGCATATGTAAACAAAGTTTAGTTTTATATACCGTTTTCATAGTTATAATGATGAGAAACTTTAACAGATTTAGTCAATTGGACATTTGTTATGGTTACAAATATATTAACACCAGCTTATTAAACATATGGCCGCACATATACAACCACTGTCAGGGATGTCCTACTCACTACGTTCTCGCAGCTGGGACGTTGTTTACGAGATTGAGAAGACGAAAAGCGAATATCCGGCACTCTAACCGAGTTGATTGGTGGATATTGAGGATCCACCTAGGGAAGTTGAAAAACCCTTATTCCAAACCAATGGTGTACATGAGTTCCAGGTACCTTAGGGAACAAATGGCGTATGAACCTATTGTTCGTCACCCGCTATCATGGAACTGCATCTCCTGACGTTGCTCCACTCCCTTGTGGGTCAGACTTATGTGGTGCATATGTGTTTGGTGCCCACCGCCTGTACCAATATTTATGTGTTCAAATAAATAAATATAAATAAATTGTAACTAAGCTATCCACTGTAAATTAGGACATTAAATAAATCCTGAATGTGAAGCACAATTTCTAATATACATATTCAACTTCCAAGATTGCCAGCAAATTCTCACTGATATAAATGAATTAGATTCTGTTGTAAATCAGTTAGGTTCTTTCCAACATAATTCAGCATGTTATTTCTTGTGTAATAAACAATTATTTAAAAATTCTTAAGATTATTACTCAACCCCGAGACCAAATAACTAATCACCATGACATGCAAAGTTAATGAATTACCATCATCTTTACATAAATTTGACTCCATTATTACAATGAATGCATACAATGTAACATGTTTGTCGACTTGATTTGATTTTAGTTCACATAGGAAACACCCGTAAGTTCAACATAATTCACGTAAATTAACTGAGAAATTTGTGTGCAAACGTTTTTAAAAGAAAAACATTAGATTATGCAACAAAGAAATATGTACATATAACTGACAACTATTTTAAGTATAATGCATATAAATCCATCATGTTGAAACATCTCTTTCACATGAAGAATGTTTGACAATTTTCATCACTGAGAATAGATTTAATGATTGATAATTTGCTGATTATTTGGTGTTCATTACTGGATCTATAACTACAATACAACACTTAGTCAAGCATATGAGTCCTACATAGTGCAAAGATGTTTTGCCACAATTCCTGTGTTCTGTCAATTGTTAGCTTCTTGATAATCAAACTGAACTGATTAACTGGAAGAGAGATAGAAGAAGAACTCCAACAACAGTCTACTAAATATTTACTACGCTATTGTGGATAGAATCAACATTTATGTTTCCTTGACTAGAAATCTCTTCTATACAGAGCATGCGGCGTCGAAATGCATATATATATTTGTATATTGGCTTTTGTATAAGTGATTACATCGAGAAGCTCGAATAATTCTAATCTGGGCTCTATCTAGGATTTAAAAAGCGGAAATCTACGGCTAAACTATCTTTAAGTGATATAACATATACAAATAAATTTTCATATGAGAATAACTTATAATATTAACCTTGTCGAATGAATTTCTTTAGAGGATGATAGTTCCTTAGAGCAAGTTAAATCATGGAGTCCAGTTGTGTATTTATTTACAGTTATTTGATAAAATAAATAGAAGGAATTCGCTTCATCAATGACCAGTCACAAATCTAAAGTAACAGATCGAAAATCATCTTTCTAAATACTCATTTGTTAGTATCGTACGACCTGTAATCTTGAGTGAACTGGTGCTCCCTGACGGATTCGATCCCGTATCACACGTACACCTTGCTGACGAGTGCCATGTAGCACGAAACCCGGATTCAGGGTTTCCTGTCGACTACCTCCAACCACCATTTAATCTCAATATATAGTGCGCGCAGTGTCGAGTCACCTGGACTGGTGGCCACATTGCAACATAGTCGATAGCATTCAGTCTGCATTAAATAAGCAATTGACACATGACATTGATCACCACTCAGTGATCAATCAATTGTGATTACAAACGAGACTCTCTATTCAGAAATCATACCAAGATTCATGAAAACACTAACTTGTAGATGAATGTGAAGTTGAAATAGTGTAAAACTGAATATTCCAACTGAATCTAATATTATTCATTTAAATAGTGTTGAAGGAAATCTATGAGATTTTGACAACATTATTGATGTATTGTTTGTAAGTAATATTGGATAGTGGCTAGCAGTGGAATCCAGTTGTACACGCGTTTCGTCCTATTTGAGACTCGTCAGCTAGATGTATCTGTATCTCAGAGTTGATGTTCACTCGAACTCAGTACCATTCGCTTCAAACGCCATGACGTTATCCACTCAGCTACTGAGTCTCGATAGCCACTTGATTGTGCAATCGGGTCAATTTAAATTCACTTGGTATTGTTTGGCTTGTATTATTAAAAATATTGAAAGATTATTGTTGAAATATACTTACAAGAAATAATCTTGAAACTTTGAAAATTTACAGAGTTTTAAGAAAAGTATTTTTGTAAGTTGATTTACAGTTTAATATCTATCAAATAATCACTGAATGATGAAAAAGTTAATGAATATTGGGAACCATTTAAACAAAATATTATTTAAAAGAGCTAGACGAATAATGAAAAAGAAAACCTGTTCAGAATGGAAGTACTGGACGGCCGTTTCGTCCTGGTATAGGACTCATCAGCAATGCAAGCCAGTATAACCATTTCTATTATTGGAACATACTGACTAATAACATCAAACAAATAATATAATCTTGATGTTATTATTTTACATAATGTTACTGGTTATGGCCAGACTGTTGTTTCACATTTCACTGAGAGCTCAAAATATTATAATCAAAACAGTATTAGATGTAGTGTAGTTTTGATTAAGAATATGGCTGTATTATGAAACGAATGAATAATACTTATATAAGCTAAATCTTCTGGTTGATTGAAGATCTGAGCGTTCATTGAAGAGTCTCAACTTTGTTTGTCGCTGTTCAGTGCTCTGAACTGGATGGTTTGGTCACGGATGAGTCATCATCATTCTGCACAGCATGAGAGTTTGTTTCACGTAGAAATGAGCATTTTATTTATTCCATGAATCTCAAATCAGTTTGTTCTGGCGGGTATCGTCGTAGCTTATGATGTCATGAACTGTCTTGTGCTCAAGGTGACTATTTTGTTCTATTGGCCTCTTCTGAACGAAATAAACTAAATCAGTTCTAAATCGATATGACTACTCACTTCCCTAACCCATTAATCTAAACGCTACGCGCTAGCAAATCATGTCGCTTCATCGACAGTTTATATTCGTGTGTGAGCATGTGAAGAGAGCATTCACATCGTCTAATATAGTGTTTATTACAGTTCAAATTATGTCCATAGTTGTCCGTATGCATTGATTTCAGCGGTAGCATATCATGTCGATTCACTGACAGTTTATATTCGTGTATGAGCAGGTGGAGAGAGCATTCACATTGTCTAATGTGGTGTTTATTACAGTTTCATTCTTAAATGTCAGGTCTTAGATAAAACTGTCTAAATATGACAAAAGACAATTAAATCTCCTGCGTGCATATATATATCAACGGTCTATTTTCTCTATGTAGTCGTTTCACATTAACTTCCTATTCCCGACATAAAACAATCTTTTCATCAATGTTTTTAGAGTTGTTCAGAGTGTCGTCAATGTAATATTTAGTTTGGTTCGGTCATATTTTTATTTTGAATTCTTATTTATATACAATGAAATACATATCATAGTGTATAATTACAGTGAACGAACATACGTTAATTCAAATGGAAACCTCCTCTAACATATTTATTTACCTTGCGATTATAATTCCTAAACGCCTACATATTGTAGTTAAAATTGAAGCACTAATGCAGAAAATTCCTATCTCATGTCACTTTGTTAGAAGTGCACCATCATGGATGCAGTAAGTCTATTGTTCTGGATGAATCATTTTATATTTAAACAATCATTTCCTTTTACATGAGAGAAAATTAAATCTTCTCATTATTGAACATACCAGTATATTGTATCTCAAGATTGACATTCTTCATAAAACAGCAGAGAAATCAATTATCTCACTCAATTCTACATCTATTTTCTATCATCTCACCGTTGTGTTCAAGAGTGACAGCGATATAAAATCAAACAATTTACGTGTATACTGAAAGTTATGCAACAATATCCTAGCAAGAACTGATTAAATGGGATTAACTTTAATCAATCTTGCTTGAAATGATTACAATGTATTCTTAAAACTGTATAAATGTTTAAAAACGAACAACACTGATTACTGAGCTCTTTTCTTCTAACAGTCGAATACTTCATGAAGACAATATTTCAAATCAGTTAGGGGTGGCCAAACCAAAACGTGGCATCAGTGCTTGAAGTCACTAACTTCTAGTCTGAGCCATGTTGGTAGATGCAGACTACTTGGTTGGGGTCCGCGTGACTATCATAACCAATGGTTGGAGACTCTTGGTGACATGGCTCAGAATCGATCACAATGGCGTCGGTGTATACACTCCCTGTCTTCCCTTAAACTAAGAGATTAAAATCACTTCATATCTTTCTTTCTACGAACTAATTCTTCCTTCCTATACTATATCCTTATTGCAACCTTTGACCTAACCACTCCTATGAATCCGGTGTTCATCTTGTTGTGCTAATGAGGTATGGCAACCTGGACCGATGCACATATGTGCCTGGTCCTACGTTGTAGCTGACTGACTGACTGACTGATATCTCAAATCGAACAAAGAAATATGTGCGCTTGAATAATAAACAAGTACTACATCACGGTAAAACTCTATTGCAAGTTAATCATAACTTTACATAGTTTCAACCCTTATACACAAAATATTTATTTATTAGAAAGTGATATTGTGGTGTGAGCTACTCATATCTACACAGAGTAGGATATAACGATAGTCAGGAATAGACTGTATTTCAGTAGAAGATCAAGAGAGAAAGAAGGAATAAGAACGGAAAGCGATTGGTATTAAAATGCACGAACAATCAAATCTGAGATGATGGACTGATATTTGCAAGAGGAGCAGTCAAGTTTGAGACAACTGACTGATTCATTTTTGCAAATTAACTATTTACGGTATGATTGTCAGATTTAAGTAAGACGTTCCGTAATTTTGTGCTTAAATATATTCCATTGTTGGCAATCGTGTTCTTGTTCATTACAATATACAGTTAAAATACTTCTGTAAATTTCGTATTTCAATAATTACACCTTTATTCATTTATTTATTTTTCAGTATACCATTTTCTATTGTTGGGTATGTCGAACTAAATATCATTTCATTATGACCGTTGTATATAAGCATATTCAACCAACGAAAACATTAAAGAAGTCTCAGAAAATTTCAAATGAATAAAATGTCTCTATTTAATCATACCGTATCAGAACTCAAAACAACTTTCCACCAATATCAAAGTCAGAATCTTCAATACGAACGTCAAGGCATTTCTGCTGTACGGAGCTGAAACTTGGAGAACTACTACAACCATCATCAAACATGTACAAGTATTTATAAATATTTGTCTACACAGGAAACTCAACATCCATTGGCCGGATACCATCAGCAACGGCCTTCTCTGGGTGAGAACAAACCAGATTCCAGCTGAAGAAGAAATTAGGAAAAGACGATGGAAATGGATAGAACATACATTACGCAAGTCATCAAACTGCATCACGAGGCAAGCCCTGACTTAGAATCCCGAACGGAAGCGGAAAAGAGGAAGGCCAAAGAACATATTTCGTCGGGAAATAGAAGCAGATATGAAAAGGATGAATAACAACTGACAGGAGCTAGAAAGGATTGTCCAGGACAGGTTTGGATGGAGAATGCTGGTGAGCGGCCTATGCTCCTCCACGAAGAGTAACATGCGTACTGTACTGTACTGCACTGTACTGTTTGAATAACATATTTATTCGAAGAAGTTTATAGGAGTATTTCAATGCAGTGCTCAAACAGTTGATAACTGATAAGAGAGATTTTCGTCAACAGATGGTTGAAATGACTGTGTTAAAAATTTGATTGATTGATTGAGTGAGTGATTGAGTGATTGAGTGATTGAGTGATTGAGTGATTGAGTTTTATCGCAACGTCCTTTGTTTATAACAAAATCAGCTTATTGGTAATTCATCCAACAATGAACTAGCTAGTAGTGTAGAGTTGACAAAGTATCCCACGATTCTTATGATTTGGAAATATTATTCATCTAATGATATAGAATTAATTTCTTTCATTATCTGTTACAATACTTGACACAATCAAGAATTTCAAATTCTTGCTTGAACAAGTGATTACATTTTTCAATTTACACTAATTTTTATAACTGATGTTCAATAGTGGTATGATAGATTGATTGATTGATTTCCAAAATATCCATGAAACAGGTCCTACTCATATTATCAGAAAGGTGGGATATTGTGGAGATTTCAGTGATATCGTGGATTGGTTGAAGTTGGACATCCATTGGATACCGGCACATTGGTGTAGAGGTTAAGCGTTCTCACGAGAGACTGCTAGGTCCTGGGTTCGGATGGCGCGAGTGGGATCGTGAATGTGCACTACTGAGGAGTTCCATACTAGGATGAAACGGACGTTCCGTGCTCCCTGGTTGTCTGTGGTGGTCTAGCTTTAATGGACTCATGAATTCAATTAATCATATTAGTTTAGTAAGTAGTGTGTAATGTACCTGAGGATTATCCAGCAGTTAACAAAGTAACCAGCCTTCAGCTAAATTATATCTGATCTTTTTCAGTGGAAGTAAACCAAATTACACCATGACATATCTGGAACTATAGATTCAATAAACGCGTTACCCTCATTTGTCATTAAAATGAACTACCATATTTCAGTTTTCCTCCGAATAACATTAGAATATATGATCAAAGAATTTTTAGAGTGGATAAAATGCCCATTTAATTTTTTAAAAATAAAACTTATTCAATTATACCTCAAAAGTAAATATCCGATTCATACTTTCCTTTCTTCTTTCAAAATAAAGAGCGGCATTAACATACGTTGCGTAAGTTCAAAGTTTAAATGTTTACATTCATTTGTATTTTGTTCTTTTAATGATGGTTACTTCTCATGAAGTCTTTACTGATGAAACATCTATCAAGAGAAATACTAAGCGTATCAATTTTATGAATAAGTTTATTTTGAAATTGAGAATTATTTCTTATTTATTTCCTTAACTGACAAGAATAACACTCAGAATAATCTGACATAGCTCTACCATTGAACTTGATTAGTAAGTGTCTCAGAGACATTCCTGGTTCACAAAGTGTTCAGTGGAGTAATGAATGATCATTTAATCTACACTGGTTAGTGATCAGAATGTTTCTCTTTTTCAATATGAACGACTTGATTATAGTGTTCTTTTGAGAAAATCTTTTGTTTCACGTTGCTGTTTCTTATATTTCTTATTTTACTTGGTGTTATGTTGTTTTAACTCCTAGAACTTCATCCCTATTCGCATTCATTAAGCGCTGTTTATTTATAAATTCACTTGAATGGATAGTCTTACTCCGTTTAATCTCTTCTTCCATTTCGAATGATAGTTTATCTTTAAAGTAAAACATTCTAAAATCTAACGGTGCTGAGTGCATGTAGACTGTTCTGTAAATATTCCTTAAGCAAACCAAACTAATGTACACCACTAATATGGTAACAAGAATATTGTAAATGTATTTCTGACAGAGTGATAATTCGTGACAATTCTTAAAGAACATGCTTGACAAATGTTAAACTATTCACTTCTAAAAGGTTATGAAAGTTGTCATAAATTCAACTATCGTATCTTCAATTGTATTGAAGGAATCTGAATGGCACAATGTATTATATTAATTAAGTTGTGAATTTCGAATGATGATAAGATCAACGATGCCCACACCATAGTATTACTCTACAATGTTAGTTTCCATGGTTCTATAAGATTTTAAATAATCTATGTATATTTCATTGAATCAATCATGAAGTTGCACTAATACTTAATCCCCCTTTCTTTTCTCTAAAATAATATTTTCTAGCTACCATTTCTATGGTTAAAATATGAAGGAAGATTGATTCGTTTCGAAAGAGAAACTTCAATATCGATTCATTAAACTCTATTCAAATTAAATGACATGAATTACGAATATAATTCTTGTAACAAGAAAAGTTTCATAGAGAACAAATTGCGATGATAGTTCTTCTTTCTTTTCTTCTTTCTGTTTTGTTTCGTTCCTCTTTTGGTGTTTATCGTGTGTTATTTCAAATTTATGTATGAAACTTGAAATTGTTTCTTAGAAATTGGCTTCAATACCAAGTAATCATAATAATAGTAATAGCGTAGTGAACAGAACATGGATGGGGACAATTGAATTGTATTTAGCACAAAATTACAGAGTTACTCCGTAAAATAGAAAATCCACATAGAAATTCGTTTATTTGCAAAATATCAATCCATCATATCAAACCGGACTGTTCCTGTTGTAGTCATCAATCCATTGTCTCACATTTCATTGTTCATGAGTTTTCTTACAAATTGCATTGTGTTCTCACTCTTCGTTTCTTGATCTTCCATCATCTTCTGCCGTCAGACATTACGTTCTTTAACTCGCGTCACATACTACTTACAGTTAGATCACTATAGGAAAACTGGAAACACTGGACAACCGTTTCATTCTAGTATAGGACTCCTCAGCAGAGCGCACACACTATCCCGCTCCACGAGTTTCGAACCCAGCACCTAATGGTCTCGTGAGCGAACATTTAACTTCTAAACCACTGAGCCGGTATCCAATTATGCTAATGTCTAACTTCAGCCAGTCTCGCGGGGTAGGATCATACAAGGATTACTCGGCCGTCCATGGTGGTCTAGCTTCAATTGACTCACGAGTTCAATTATTAAATTATTACAATCTCCACAAAACACCTATCTGGTCATAAATATATTATGCAAACTTGTGTAAATTTAGTTCGGTTACTTGTCTACTCAGAAGGAGTAGCTTATATTAAGTCATGAAACATCAGAAATACAGCTTCCATATTCATTGCAATATAACAAAAATATATTTATTATAAACACACAACTATTTAGCGTCCACTATCTTTACAATTAGATCAGTTAAACCTAATAGTGTTAAGCATTAGAAAAGTTTGCCAATCAATCTAATACCACCGAATACAATGACTGGCTTGCAAAAGTTTTAAAGGTATCAGTTGAAATTTCGATATTTATTCAGGCATAAAACAAAGAGTAATACAACAGTTGATATGCATAATATTTGGCAAATGTTATTTGACTTCATGACATGTAAATAGTGTTATTATGATCAATGAAGTGATCAGATGAAAGTCAGTAGAGTGTTCTCATAGTTTTAACCATAATTAACAGCTTACCACCTCATAATTATCCGAGTGTAATGGTAGTTAATAAGATATCTAGAACTTGTTTGTTAATTACTGAGGTTAATGACATAATATATTTGTGGGAGTAGTGATCAAATGTCATCAATTTCCAGAATCTCTGTACCAGCTAAAGTATGTGCATGAACAAGTTTTCGATATGATAGTCAACATTTTAACCATCAGCAGCCTGACCACCAATGAGTTACGATAAGTATTCCCAGGGACATTTTCACAGTCATTATCAACTTCTTTTACTTTATCGTATATAACACCATACTGTCTAAATTGGGTGTCAATAATGTTATCGGGTTGCGCGCAGATAGATTTTACAACATATGAATGATTAGCCTTAAAGAAACGGTGTGTAATAAAGTCTACTTCCATGCATTTATATATCCAATCCGAGTATATTTCCTTCACAGGTTCATTTGCATTGTTCCATCCTTTGTATTTGTTAGTAGAAAATCCAAACTAGTGAAATTCTAATTTCATCTCAAGTTCGGGTTAGTTTATCCCTCAACATTATCGTAGACATCTGCATAGAACCGACAAGATTTTTAGTTCGCCTTAAGTGAAAGCTACAATATTGATCTTAAGTGATTGACACAAAGCCATCTACTAACTCAATCATCAAAATAATCACAAATAACGGTACTGGTTTTACGAATACAATTTAATCTATTCTCGATAGATGAAATGTGTTAAAAGAGGAGAGCTTTCCAACACTTGACGATCGATTTCCAAGTCTACTCAAACCAACTATCAAAGTGATGAAATTTTAAGCAAATCTCTAAGCGTAGAAGTTATGGGTCGTGTTCATCAAAATTCAATTATGAAGATCAACATTTGGATATATTGAATCATTGTTTAGTTGTAGAATACTACGTTAAATTTGATTTAAATTAAGATACCAATTAGCATGATGTTGACTTCATTCTCCTTGTCAGTTATTAACTATTATCAACGCTAGACGTAACATTTTAAAGACAGTAACTTTTACACCACTTGTCATATACACTGAATTCATTCTATATAATTGGAATAAATATGACCTACTTTATTTACCAATAACTTACATCTCGCATATGCAAATATTAGTTAGTATGCGCAATTTCTTTATAAACTAAAACACACGATGTCCGATTTTCCACCTATATAGCTAACTCGATCATTCTCTCATAGAGCTCCTTTGTTACGATAATTAGAACGGAATAGACAAATTACTACAGACTAACTATATATATTTAGTACAAATTGGATTATTTAGATACAACATCACAAATGGACGTTCTACTTGTCCGAATAGCGTGTTGGATAATTTAAATGTTATTCGAGAGGAAGCACGGAATTAACCAAATTGGTGTTTTGATAGGAATATTATCACAACAGTGATCAATAATAACATTTTCTACGTTAGTGATGATTATCAAGATGGTGATGTCAACAGTCATGGTGATGTCCGTGATGATGATGGTGGTGATGATGACAGTCATGGTGGTAGCCATCATGATGATGGTGATGACGACAGTCATCGTGATGTCTGTGATGACTATGATGATGGTGGTGATGATGACGATGGTGATGGTGATGTCCGTGATGACGACGGTGATGATGGTGATGGTGGTGATGACGACAGTGATGATGGTGATGTCCGTGATGACGACGGTGATGATGGTGATGGTGGTGATGACGACGGTGATGATGGTGATGGTGGTGATGACGATGGTGATGATGGCGACGATGTCCATGATGATGGTGTCTATGGCATCCATGGTGGCTGCGATGGTGGTGGTAATGGCCATGAAGCAATTGTGATTGTGTGGCATTTTCACCACCAACATTCTCTAATATACTTGCATCAGTGTGATTACTTTCACTCGTGCTGTCTGTCCGATCTATTTCTTCACTTCCATATCCACTGTCAGAATCCTTCGTCACATTGTCCTGTTGCAGTGGCTCAGTAACAATGACGCTCGGTCCTATAACAAAACAAGACTTCGTGTTAGGGAATTATTGATTTATGAAATATGTGCGAGCATAAACAAACACAACTGACTGTGTGCAGATGTTGACCTGTTTGTTTGTTTGTTTTTTGGTGGAACGACATAACGCTCCACTGTTAACTCTTGAGGTGATCATCTGTAAGCAATAACACACAATTCAAGAAAATGTTCGGAACACGTGTCACTCAGAACTGTCTGTCACCTGCACAGAACACTATCTCTGTGACGTCGTTTTATCGAACAATAATACACAGATGTCTGTAACGAGACACTCAACCACTACAATGCCTCACATAACGTGCATAACAAACAGTGATACTTGATGAATTGAAGCTTAATAAACGATATATTGACGTTGAGAGACTTTTCGGTCGACACTCATCCTCAGATATCTCAACAACACACTCACTTACCTTCACTAGCTGGAGAGACTGATAAGGCTTCGACCAGTCGGTGTTCGAAGACGAACACACTCAGTAGTAGTATGACGATGAGTTTCATTGCAATTCTGGAAGAGAGAGAAATGTTGACCTGTGAGTAGTCAGTATATCTATTCTGATGAGTTCATGTGTATTAGTCAACGTGAATGTAGTAGAGTAGTAATAGCATGACGTCAGTTACAGAAATTTCGCCAACTTACTCTCCTCACTCTGACTGTTTATCTTCCACTACTCGACAATGTTAGTGGGAGTCGCCAATCGAAGTGTGATTTAACTGCACGTGTATTTATATGGCAATGTGGTCTATGGAAAATAGGTTTAGAAAGTCACGTAATAAATCACTCAAATCAATCATGATAATCACTTGTGTCCTAATGACCGATGAATGTTCATACACCCACTCTGGTCACAAATGTTTTCTTCCGATCGTGTGGATTGTCTAAGATCCTTAAGCATGTGACTCACGATTCCAACTGCTTTTTCACTTTGTGAATATATTGATCACTTTTTCACGTTTTGCCAAATTTAAGAGGAACAACACAACTATACACTACACACAGTTGTCGATATAGGGATGTTTCTAAACACTGATTTTTGCACACGTACAGAAGGTTCGAAATTCCTAGTGGTCCAGATTCCTAGAAACTCCACTGAACATTTTTTACAATCTCCACACAAAGTTTCAATGCAGTTCTTATTTCATGACTAACAACTAGAAATAAAATCAAGAATGTTGATCACTTACAATTTTCTCGTTGAATCAAAATAGTAACGCTGAGCTTATTGTAAGTCCGTTTTCAAAAAGAAACTCCCATATAATTAAAAATATTGAAAAATGTAATTTATATTAAATTCTAGTGGACGAAGATGAGTAAGTAGTCAATGTTCATATGATATACATAATCCATTCAATTCCCATCGCTTACAATACACCATATACATATCATTCTACATAATGCATAGATACATGTTCTCATCCAACAATTCTAACATTTCATCCAACAAATCTTCTGTGTATCATTCTTTGCTTTTCATCAAAATTATCATCTTTGTTTCAATAAAGCATCATTAACTAACCTCGATGCATAAGATTTGCTCTTTACTCTTTTAAACTAATTAAAGTATAATCTAGTTGATCATTACTTACTAATTTAATCATTGCTGTTTGATTCATATCTACCGATCTGAATAATTTTTTACTAGTATAGGGGTT